GAGGTAAAGCAGCGGCAAAGCACTCAAACTCCTCCTGTCTGTCCTCAAGGACATCCGTGCCAAGAGCACACTCACCCCCGACGGACAGAGGACAGACAGACTCAGCAACAAGGCTAGCGGCGAAGTCTAGACGACAGGCGGCAGCAAAGTCAACAAGCTCAGCAACTAGAGCAGACGCAGCAGTGGACTCAAAGGAAGGGTCAGTGACAACAGTAGCGAGAAGATGCGTGACAGTAGGACTGGCAGCACGAGCAAGGTCTGACGGCGGGTCAGCAACGTCAGGAAGAGAGCACGCAGGAGGAGACGACAGAGGGACACGCTGTGGAGCAGTGGAAGGACGCAGAGTCATATAGTGAGTGCCAAGTACAGGAGGAGGACGCTGACGCGGAGCACGACGACCAGCGCGGACAGCGCGGACAGGCGACTCTGGACGAGACTCAGGTGACTCAGGACGAGACTCAGGCGACGCAGGACGAGACTCAGGCTCACGACGCTCCGTAAGACCTCTAGTCAGCCCAGCGTAGGGAGAAGGACCAGGCAGTGGAGAGGCAAGTGGTAACTGTGACTGCGACTGGACAGGTGGTGGACTCAGTAGGGGAGGAGAAGGACCAGTGGAGGGCGGGAGGCCAAGAACCTGCTGAAGAAGCGGAATGTAGTACGGCCGCGGCCGCTCAGCACCTCCTGAACCAGCAGAGACAGCACCAGCACCCTCAGCCCCAGGGTCTCCAGGACCAACCCCCGCTGCACCACCAGCAACCCCAGCAGCTCCAGTACCTCCAGCTCCAACCCCCGCAGCAGCTCTAGTACCTCCAGTACGAGCACCTCCAGAACCAGCGGCTCCAGCAGCTCCAGCACCAGCAGTACCTCCAGTAGCTCCAGCTCTAGCAGCACCTCCAGCACCAGCAGCGCCTCCAGCAGCTCCAGCACCAGTAGCGTCTCTAGCAGCTCCAGCTCCAGCAGCACCTCCAGCAGCACCACCAGCAGCTCCTGCGCCAGCAGCACCAGCACCAGCACCAGCTCCAGCTCCAGGGTCCGCGGCACCAGCCGCAGCTCCAGCTCCAGGGTCCGCGGCACCAGCAGCGGCTCCAGCTTTAGGGTCGGCGGCACCAGCAGCACCACTCCTGGGAGGGGAGGGAGAACCCTGGGAAGACCAGAGACAAGGTACCGGGAGTGCATGCTACGAAGGCGCTGCACTGACGGGTGACCAAGGCAGTGGTGCCAGAGGACGGTCTCGTGCGCCAGGGAGCGACACGAGCAGGGGGCCGACAGCTGACCTGACACAGACGCAGACGCAGCTACCTGAGGGGACTCAGTGGTCAGTGTGTACAGGTCCGACCCCGGCTGCCGAGTGAAGGTAGCCAGGTGGCGACCCGTCCGAGCAAACGTGCAGTGTGTCACGCGCTCGTAGGCAGGGGTGAACTGGTGGACACCCCCGTCCTGGAGCGCACGACTCGCCACCAAGTTCGTAGAGAACGAGGGGAGGTAGAGACCTGACAGTGTGCCCGACGGGACCGCAGGACAAGGGAGGACAGTGGAGGAGGTCGCAATGACCGGACCCCCAGAGGGGTCAGCGAGGGAGACTGCAACCGGCCGAGCAAGCTGCTCAAGGGCAGTGCGGTCACGAAAGAAACAGCGGGAAGCACCTGAGTCCAGTGTGAAGGTGTGCAGTGCCTCAGTAGACGCAGTACCAGAGGGCGCAGACTCACGAGTACCTAGAGCAGCAGCCTCACCAGCACCTGGGGCAACAGACACACTAGCACCTAGAGCGGCAGCCTCACCAGCACCTGAGGCAACAGACACACGAGCACCTAGTGCGGCAGCCTCACCAGTACCTAGAGCAGCAGACTGGATACCGGGGTCAGGCGGCACACTCAGGTGACAGGCACCCTCAGCACTAGTAGACAATGCATACATGGCAGTGAGGAGAGCATCATAGTCAAGAGCAAAGATATCTACCCTCTGCCTAAGCAGCTCCAGCCAGGAGGGGAGCTCAGCGTCGTCGCCAAACTCTGTACGCCAAGCGTCGCTCAGACGGGCGAAGCAGCGGGACTCTGTGTGACTAGGTGTCCCGCAAGGCTGACCAGTCCGGACACCTGTGCGAATGACGTACGGGCAGCGAGCAGGACTCAGTGACCCGCTACTCTGAGCGTACCACTCACGAAGCTGCTGGGGCGAAAGAGCCTCGCGGGGACGACGCTGCAGCTGCACCTGGCCACCACCAGAAGCTCCCGAACGACCCACTCCAGAGCGACTCCCACTACGGCCACCCCGACAGCCCCACCTAGCGTACCACTCACGAAGCTGCTGGGGCGAAAGAGTCTCGCGGGGACGACGCTGCAGCTGCACTTGTCCACTACCAGAAGCTCCCGAACTACCCACTCCAGAGCAACTCCCACTACGGGCACCCCGACAGCCCCAACTAGCGTACCACTCACGAAGCTGCTAGGGCGTGAGGGACTCACGCGCACGGCCCTGGAGCTGCATCTGGCCACGCCAGGAGTTGCAGTAGCAGCAGTAGTGGCAGTAACAGCAGTAGCAGCAGGAGCAGTAGCAGTGGGAGCAGTAAAAGCAGTAGCAGCAGTAGCAGCGGTAGCAGCGCGGGCAGGGCAGTGCTCACTAGTGGTGGGAAGGGCAGGCGCAAGACGGCGGCGACAGCGGGGCCGCTACAGCTGCAGGGCGGAGCCGGGCCGCGGCAGGGAGCTCCGCGGCAGCTGCTGCAGGGCGGGGCCGGGCCGCGACGGCAGCTGCTCCAGGGGCCAGGGGCGGCTGCTGCAGGGGCGGCTGCTCCAAGGGCCAGGGGCGGCTCCTGCGGTGGCGGCTGCTCGAGGTGCAGTGGCAGAAGCGCCGCGACGAGGCGGGGGCGACGCGCGGGTCCCGCAGGGTCGTCGCGACGAGGCAGGGGCGACGCGCGGGTCCCGCAGGGGCGTCGCGACGAGGCAGGGGCGACGCCCGGGTCCCGCAGAGGCGTCGCGACGAGCAGGGCGACGCGTCGCGGGGTCCAGGGGCCGCGCCTCGGGGTCCAGGGGCGGCTGCGCGGGTGCAGAGCAGGCCCGCGCGCGGCCTGCAGGGCAGGGCGACAGGGTGGCGCTCGAGGGCGCGGGTAGGCAGGCGCTCAAGGGCGCGAGTAGGCAGGCGCTCGAGGGCGCGGGTAGGAAGGCGCTCGAGGGCGCGGGTAGGCAGGCGGACGGCACACGGGGCTGCACGGGGCCGCGAGGGGCTGTGTGCGAGGCTAGTGGGCAGCGCGCAACTAGCAACAGGGCGCACGACGGCGCTAGAAGGGGCGCTCGACGGCGCGAGTAGGGGCGCACGACGGCGCGAGGTACTATCAGACACGGTCGCGCAAGGGCGCGGCGGAACGGTGGGCCCTAACCAACGTCGGTCCTAGGTCCTGACCTAGGCGTCGGATACCATGTTAGAATGTAGAACTGAACGAGAATGAATGAACTAGGCAGCAGGGTGATACAAGTAGGAAACCCTAGCAATATTGTACCCCCTAAGGCTAAACCCACTATAGCCTACACAATATAAACATGTATAATGTTTGACAGGCTGCAGGGGCAGCACGAACGCAGGGGCAGGCACGGCTGCAGGGGCAGCACGGTCGCAGGGGCAGGCACGGCTGCAGGGGCAGCACGGTCGCAGGGGCGAGTACGGCTGCAGGGGCAGCGCGGTCGCAGGGGCAACACGCGGGCTGCAAGGGCAGCGCGGCTGCAGGGGCAGCGTAGGAAGAAAAAATTATGGTTAGGGCAGGGCGGAACGTTCGGTGGGCCCTAGGAACGATTCTGCTCTAATACCATGTTAGAATAAGCAGGAATGAATGATTGAACTAGGCAAGAGGTGAGTACAAGTAGAGGAAACCTAACCCTAAAGTGTTGTACTCACTAAGGAGTGACCCTACTGTAGCCTAGAGATACAATTGTAATCTGACACTTGTACCCACCTGCTTGCTAGTTCATTCATTCCTCGTTCTATCTTTCACAAGCCCATAAGGGGTACAACCCAATTAGGGTTTCCTACTTGTACCCATCTTGCTGCTAGTTCATTCATTCTCGCTTACTGATTCTGAAAGTACATTCCTTTATTACATCGAAACTTGACCGTACGGCGCGATATTCTGTTTCAAACCTGTTCCTGCATTTTCCCATTCAAATGTATCTGCCTACACTGGTTCATCTGACTTTTCGTCTTCGTACTCGGTAGTGCGAACCTCTGTTACGTTCAGGAATGTACCGAGTCAATCCCTTATCGTAACAACATTGAACAATCACATCCGCGAGTAATTCAAATTTGCATCCCCGCGCGTGAAATGAATTCCCGTAACGAATTCGTATTGCATCGTTTATATGAAATTTTAACATGTGCATGGGTCTTATTAACCATGCCACCCTCTATTGTCTCCCCAAGCATTTCTAAAAACAATATTTATAAGACCCTCTCAGTCTCGTGCCTTATTGCCAAGAGATTTTGGTACATTTGAAATCCTATAGTGAATCTGAATCATTATATCATTAATGTTTGTGTTTCAACCAAGGGTCTTATGTTTTTTACCCGGCGATAAGAACAAAAAAAAACCACTATCTGATAAGACAATGCGGTCCACTAAACGGCCGCTTAGAGTATCTTATGCGGATTGGTGATTTATAATATCACAATATTTCATCTTTTACTTGAGGCACTTGCTCGGACCATATATATTGCTGCTTTGAAGAACTGTAAACAATGCAAATATTCAGGTTTTAGAAAGGCTGGCCTGCGTTGTAAAACCGAATTGATACGTTTCTACACAGCCCTACAACTAAAATGTCATTTTTTTTTTGTGTGTTTTAGATACCAATCCTTTTGAAGAGGATTGGTGTGATGGGCGAAGGAACACATTTCAAACCCCTAGTGAAACCCCTAGTTGTTCGAGTCTCTGACGGTCCTCAGCTGGCCGCTAGAATTAGCCTAATAGAAGTTGCACCGACCAACGGACGGATATTTTTAGTGCAGCGCTGGCGCGGATGAGGAAGGCCGCGGGCAGCTCCCTCCCCACGGGAAATGCTGGAAACGCGCGGAGTGCGGGGAATGCCAGGAAAGCGGGGAAAACGGGGAAGGAGGGTACTCGGTCTGGGGGTGAGAGCGCGGGAGGGATGCGGAGGACAAACAGAGGCGGGGCGCGGGGCGGCAATTCTGTGGGGGGAAATGGCGCGACGGGGGGAATTGGGAAGAAGCGGAAGCGCGGGGGGAAACTGCAGATGGGGGCAGCGCGGAAGGCGGGCGGAGGGCGGGCGGGCAGCGCAGTGGGCGCGCGCAGGGGGGGCGTAAAGGGCGCGCAAGGAGGGAGCGGTGGGGGGAAGGGCGCGCTGGGGCAGGGAGTGGGCGGGGGAGGAACAAGGCGGGAGGCGGAAACGGGAAAGGGGAAGGTGGAGAAAGGTGGCGTGATCGGGGGAGAAGAAGGGGAAAGGGTAGCAGAGGGGAGGGGGGAAGGTGTGGGGACGGCGGGGAAAGAGGACGAGGGGGACTTGAGGGGTGAAATGGGAGAGGGGGAGGCGAAGGCGGCTGGGAAGAGAGGAAAACTGGCGGAAACGGAGTCAGATGAGGCACAAGAGGGAGAGGCAGGCAAGGATCGGCCGGGAGTGGGGGAAGAAGAGGAGCGGGAGGAGGAGGAAGCGAAAGAAGAGGGCGAAGAAGGGGATAGAGAGGAGGGAGGAAGGGTGGTGGTGATGAGTGACGTGAGTGGGGAGGAGGGCAGCAGCAGGGGCGAGGGCAGCGGCAGCGGGTCGTTGGGTTTAGACTCGGGATCAGATGGGGGGGAGGAGCGGTCGGATGATGGCAGTGACGCTGTGGGGATGGGGGAGGAGAGTGGTGCGAGAGAGAGTGAGAGTGGGGGGAGTGAGAGCGATAGTGAAGAGAGTGACAGTGAAGGGAGTGAGATTGAGGGGGGCGAGAGTGAGGATGGGGAGGAAATGAAGGAGGGAGAGGAGAGGGGTGGCAGCAAGGAAGGCGAGGGTCAAGAGGCGGATGGGGCGGGGGTGGGCGCGGCAGGAAAGGAATGGTTCCGCCACGTGATGGCGGACGTGGGGGAAGAGGCGGAGGGGGAGGCGGAGGGCCAGGGGGGCGCGGAGGGGGGTGGCGCAGGCACCAAGACAGTGCTGAATGCGGGGGCAGCGACGGCGAAGGCGAGGAAACGAGCTCTGAAGGCTGAGCATAAAAAGCGAGAGGAGAAGGTGGGGCAGGCCAAGGCAGACAAGCTGAGAGCGAGAACTCAACGGGCGGAGGAGAGGCGGCGGCGGGCGGAGAAAGAGCGGTTTGAGGCGGAACAGAGGGATGCAAAGCGGCGGAGAGTGGTGCGGGAGCAGGAGGCGGCGCAGGAGAGGCGCGAGGAGAAGCAGGAGCGGCGCGTGCAGGGCATGCAGAAGGCTCTTCTGAAGCTGTTCAAGAAGATGGCCGCTGGTGGCGGGGGAGGGGGCGGTGTGGGGAGAGGGGGCGGTGGGGAGAAGGGTAGTGGGGGCCCGGAGTGGGAGGTGGTGAGTCGCGTGCATGCCATGGCGCATGGCATTGTGGATGGCAGCCTGGAGAAGGTGGTGCTAGGGGAGGGCGGCACCAAGGGCACGGGCACGCAGAGGCTGCCGCTGCAAGCCAGGATTCAAGTGAACGAGTGAGTGGTGGTGGTGGGTGCACGTGTGACCAGCAGTTGCTGGGCGAATGGTTTATTTTTAATGGTTGTGGATGGTCGGCAAATGTGGTCATGTGATGTGATTTGGGCACGCATAACAGCAGGAAGAACACTCCGCGCTTAGACCGCACGGTCCTTGCCATCCTGCTTCCTGCATTATCTCTTTTGCTACTCTCTTTCCTTCACATTGAACACCTCTTGCGCCCTTCTTTATCCATCCATGCCCACACCCTCTTTTCAAACCTCTCCCCACCGCACAGCACCGCTCGCTCCGCCACGGCCATTCTCTTCCCTGACGAGGCGGTGGTGGTGGAGGGGCACATGCACGTCACTCTGCTGCACGGCGCTGCCTCTCTGCACGGCTTCGCGCTCCCCCTGCACCGCCCCACCGCGCTCTCTGCTGACGCCACCCTCTCCTCCTCCGTGCTGCTCCACGTCGCCCCGCCTGCCCAACATGCTCCCCCTGCTGCTGCTGCTCCTGGTTCTGCTCCTGCGGGTGGTGCTGCTGCTGCTGTGGGTGCGGCTGCTGCACAAACTGCAGTGGCTGCAGTGACCGGTGAGGCGGGGGCTGCTGCTGCGGACGCACCACAGGGAGGGAAGAGAGGGGAAGGGGTGGCGGCGGCAGTGGGGAAGGGTGGGGGAGGGGCGGAAGCAGGGGCAGGGGGGAAGGGTGTTAGGATGACTAAGAAGCAGAAGAAAGAGGCAGCGAAGGCAGCAGCAGAGGCGGAGGCGGAGAGGAAACGGCGGGAGAAGGCGGAGCGGGGGTGGCGCACAGACGTGCAGGGCATGGCTGTGGTGCTCTTCCAGTCCTGGGGACCCGGTCAGCTGGGGTTGGGTGCGGTGGGAGAGGGTGCTGTGGGGGGTGGTGAGGTGGAGCGAGGGAAGGATGGGAGTAAGGAAAAGAAGGGGGAGGCAGTGCCAGTGGGGGCGGAAAAAGGGGGTGCGGATGTGACGGTGGCGACAGAGGCGGCCAAGGATTGGAGAGTCACGGCCAACTTCACGTTCCGACTGCTGGTGAGCGGGAAGGGGGGATGGTGAGAGGGAGGGTGAGGGGGTGGTGAGAGAGTGGTGAGAGCAGGGAGAGAGGAGGGTGAGAATGGGAGAGTGGGTTCTTAGTGGGGGAATGGGAGAGTGGGTTCTTAGTGGGGGAATGGGAGAGTGGGTTCTTAGTGGGGGAATGGGAGAGTGGGTTCTAGTGGGGGAATGGGAGAGTGGGTTCTTAGTGGGGGAATGGGAGAGTGGGTTCTTAGTGGGGGAATGGGAGAGTGGGTTCTTAGTGGGGGATGGGAGAGTGGGTTCTTAGTGGGGGAATGGGAGAGTGGGTTCTTAGTTGGGGAATGGGAGAGTGGGTTCTTAGTGGGGGAATGGGCTCTTGGTGAGAAGAGGGTGGTGGTGAGCGAGTGGGTGACGATACATCACCATCATGCCCTGTCACCACCATGCCCTGTCATCATCATGCCCTGTCATCATCATGCCCTGTCACCACCATGCCCTGTCATCATCATGCCCTGTCACCACCATGCCCTGTCATCATCATGCCCTGTCATCATCATGCCCTGTCATCATCATGCCCTGTCACCACCATGCCCTGTCATCATCATGCCCTGTCATCATCATGCCCTGTCACCACCACCATGACCCTTAATATCGTCCTTATCCCCTTATCATCGCTCTATCGTTCTCATTATACCCCTCCTCTTGCTGCCCTCTTTCCCCAAACCCTGCCTGAGCCTGAGGTGGCTGAAAACCACGTCAGATGGCCTTCCTGTGCTGCCAGCACACTTACAGTACACCCGTTGCCCGTCCTCTGCCTCTCCAACCGCCCCCCTCATGCCCCCCCACTCCCCAGGAGCCGAGTGCACCGCTGCTGAAGCTGAGAGATGTGCGGCGGCTGAGGAAACTGCAACAGACGGCCTTTCTGTGCGGCTTGCGCACTCACAGAGTGCCTTCCCGCCACCTCTCCACACTCTTCCCCACCACCTGCCCCACAAATCCCCACCCAGGAGCCGAGCACACCGGTGCTGAGGCCGAGAGATGTGGAGCGGCTGAGAGAACCACCGCAGGTAGCCGTAATCTCTGCAGGCTGCACATGCACTGTGCGCTCACATCTTCCTCTCCACACCTTCTCGCCCCTCCCCCATCCCACCTTTCTCTCCCCCCCACTCCCCCAGGAGCCGAGCACGCCCCTGCTGAGGCTGAGAGATGTGGGGCGGCTGAGAAAACCGCTACAGGCGGCCTTTCTGTGCGGCCTGCACACTCACAGAGTGGCCCCCCGGGGGCATGGGCAGGGCGGGCAGGGGCTGGTGGGGGCTGGGGGCGGGGGGAGAGCCAGGGGGAAAAAAGGGGGGAAGCGGTATGAGGGGGACCGTGGGGCTTGGGAGGCGTTCTCGTGGACCCCGCCCAAGGGGAAGAAAGGGGGCGGGGGAGGGGGAGGGGGAGGGGAAGGGGGAGGGGGAGGAGGGGGAGGGGGAGGGGGAGGGGAAGGGGAAGGGGGAGGCGGAGATGGAGTAGGGCAGCAGGCGGCAGGGCCATGGAGGCAGGAGGGGCGGGTGCTGACGAACTCAGAGATGAAGGGGTGGGAGGCGGTGCGGTGCGATGTGGTGAGCCGCGAGTGGGAGGAGGCGGGGCGCTCTGTGGTGGGCGGGAGGAAGCGCAGCAAGAGGCGGGCGCGGGGGGAGATGCGGGCGCCCATTGTGATGGTGGTGGGGGGCGTGAACACTGGCAAGTCTACGTTTGCAAAGTTTCTAGTCAACCACATGCTGGGCAGGTATGGTGGTAACCACATGCTGGGCAGGTATGGTGGTAACCACATGCTGGGCAGGTATGGTGGTAACCACATGCTGGGCAGGTATGGTGCTAAAGCACATGCTGCTCTGCATGTTGTGCAGCGACTGATCTCTGCCACGTGAGCTACGTGTGGGCATGCATGCATGCGTGCGTGCATGGGATTACATTCAGTCAGCTCCCTGCCTCCTGCCACCCCGTTCCTCCCATTCCCACCATTCCACTCTCCTCTTCCCAACCCCTAATCGCCAGGTACCCCTGTGTGGCGTTCCTTGACACGGACGTGGGGCAGCCCGAGTTCACTCCACCCGGCCTCGTCTCGCTGCACCTCCTCTCCCACCCCGTCTTCGGTAGGTACTTCCTCTCCTCTCCACTCCTCTCCTCTCCGCCACCTCAGATCCTCCCAGAAACCCCTCCTCTCAAAACCCCCTCCACTCCCTCACCTTAAACTCCTCTCTGTACGGCGAAATCAGCCCTCCCTCGCCTCCTTACCTGCCCCCTCCGTCTTCCCTGCCCCTTTGCTGCCTTCCCTTTCCATCACACACTACAGACCACCCAGCTTTGCACCAGCGCACGCCCCTGGCAAGCCACATGTGCGGGGACATGACCCATCCTTGTCCCCCTTACCCGCCCCATCCTCACTCCACCTCCCTTAATCCCCACCACACTCTTCGCCGGCCACCAATGCTCCACCAGCGCACGCCCCTGGCAAGCCACTTGTACATCAGCCTTCCCTTTTCTCCTTACCTGCCCTGCTTTTCCCCATCCCCGTGCTCTATCCACCGCACCCACTACAGGTCACCCGCACTCCATCAGACAACCCCCCTGGCAAGCCACCTGTATGGGGGCATCAGCCCTCCCTGTCCCCATCACCCCCCGCACTACAGGCCACCCTGCACTCCACCAGAGGACCCCTCCGGCAAGCTACCTGTACGGCGAAATCAGCCCCGGCAGCCCCATCCTCCCCACCCCCCACACTAACACCCCATCCAGCACTCCATCAGCGCACCCCCTGGCAAGCCATCTGTACGGTGACATCAACCCTCCTCCCCCCATTATCCGCCCCCTCCTCCCCCACACTAACAGGCCACCCAGCGCTGCACCAGCGCACGCCCCTGGCGAGCCACCTGTATGGCGACATCAGCCCTGGCAGCGACCCAGCACTGTACCTGCGGCAGCTCTTCTCTCTCTATGACTGCTTCAGGCAGAACTACTATGATGGGCATGGGGCGGCGGCACTGCCACTGGTGATCAACACTCATGGGTGGATCAAGGGTGAGTGATCAAAAGGATTTGAAGGTGACTGGGTCCCAGACTCTGTCTGACCCAGCACTGTACCTTCGACACCTCTTCTCTCTCTATGACTGCTTCAGGCTGAACTACTATGATGGGCATGGGGCGGTAGCGCTGCCACTGGTCATCAACACACACGGATGGATCAAGGGTGAGTTATCAAAGGTGATTGTATTCTTGGCAGCGACCCCGCGCTCTACCTGCGGCGGCCCTTCTCTCTCTACGACTGCTTCAGACAGGCAGCAACGCTGCCACTGGTGATCAACACACATGGTTGGATTAAAGGTGAGATGAAAAGGTATGGCAGGTGATGGATCCCCCACTATTCCTGAACCAGCGCTGTACCTGCACCAGCCCTTCTTTCTCTACGATTGTTTCAGGCAAGAGTACCAAGACGGGCACGGGGAAGCGAACAACACTCACAGGTGGATCAAAGATGAGTCAATGCGGCTCTGACTGACCCCACGCTCTTCCTTCCCTGCCGTATTCCCCTGCCTCCCTGCCCTTCCCTCCACACACGTCATCTGTGTACAAGCCCTGTTCCCCCCTGCTTCCTCCCTGCCCTTCCCCTCCCCACGATACAGGCATAGGCTATGACGCCCTGGTTGATCTCATTCGCTACACGGGGCCCCACACATGCCTTTTCTGTTCAATCCCCTTTCCCCCTGCTTCCTTCCTCCTGCCACCTCCCCGTGCCATGCAGGCATAGGCTACGACGCCCTGGTGGATCTCATCCGCTACGTGGCACCCACACACGTCATCTCGCTGCTCGCCCCCGACGCAGCTGACAACCTGCCTGGCGGCCACTTCTGGCAGCCGGGGGGGTTCGCCCCCGAGGACATCAACCCCAACATGACGCCCCTGGGGGGCGTGGGGGGCGGTGGCGAGGGCGCCGGGGGGATGGCGGGGGAGTGGGATGGGGAGGGGGAGGGGGGCGATGTGGGGGGTGCGGGTGGAGGTGCAGGGGGGCAAGCTGGGGGAGGGGTTTGGGGGGGAGGAGGAGGAGATGGGGAAGGAGAGGGAGTGGAAGCAGCAGCAACATCAGCAGCAGCAGGGCAGGGGGCAGCAGGACCGACAGGGGCAGCAGCAGCAGGGGCAGTGGTGCGCACGTCATTAATCACAATCACATCGCTGTCTGCCAGCGCTGGGCCTGGCGTGAGGTGAGTCGCGAGGAGGGTGGGAGGGCAGTTTCAAGGCGACTCAAACGTCACATTGCTGTCTACCAGTGCTGGCTGGCTGCGGTCTGAGGGGAGCTACTACCAGGGGTGTGGGAGGTGAGGAGGATCCCCACAGCAACACCTACAGGGTGGCCCATGAGCATCGCAGCCTGCGAATGCTAGCAGCCATCCGCTATGCCCTCTTCCCTATGGCCTCAACCTCCCTCTCCTCTCCCCTCTCATGCCTTCCCCTTCCCCTTTCCTCCCTCCCAGCAACTCCTACCGAGTGGCACACGAGCATCGCAGCCTGCGGGTGCTAGCAGCCATCCGCCACGCCCTCTCCCCCTCCCGCCGCCTCGCCCTCTACAAGCTCGCCCGCCACATTCCCCCCCACCCCGCCCCTCCCACCACCGCCTCTCCCTCTTCCACCGCCCCTCCCTCTTCCACCACCTTTCCCTCTTCCTCCGCCGCTCCCCCTGCTTCCTGCCCTCCCGCACGTCCCTCGCCCGCGCTCCCCGCGCCCATCTTCCTGTTCCCGTTTGACGAGCGCTGGGAGATGGCGCGCTGTGCGCGCCTGCTGGCGTGGCGGGCGCCCTTTGAGGTGGACCTGGGGGACCTGCACGTGGGCTGCGCACATGGGGAGGTGAGGGGAGAATGGGGTGAGGTGAGGAGGGGTTGGGGAAGGTCAGGAGGAGAGGTTGCTTTTGAGGTGTCCTTTGAGGTGCTCCTGGGGGAGCTTCAAGTGGGCTGCGCGCATGGCGACGTGAGAGCAGGGGCAGGCGGGTAAACAGCTTGTACAGCTCGTAACTTCCCAGTTTTGGCTCGGTAGCATTCAGTCAACCACAGCTTGCCGTTCAGTCATATCATCGCGTGGTGCTTGCTGTGTGTACCTGCTGGCATGGCGGCTGGTTTGAGGTGCAGCTGGGGGACCTGCACCTGCGCTGTGTGCATGGGGAGGTGAGGGGGAGATTGGAGGTGAGGTGAGGCAAGCTTTGGTGGCAAGCTCATCAGCTGTCATCAGGTTCTATGCTCCAACGCCCCACTGCTTCCATCGCACACAACCCTTAATGCCCCATTTCCTCCCACTTCCTCCCTCCCACTCCCCTCCATCAACCTCTCCCCCGTCCCCTCCTGCCACCTCCTCCCTGCACCCGTCCTCCGAGCAACATGCCTCACCACCCTCAACGCCTCATTCAGCTCCTCCCTTGCCCCTCCACCCTCCTCCCCCCCCTCTTCGCGCCGCCATTTCCTTTGGTTGTTCCTCGGTTGCACACTCATCACCCCAATTTCCCTCCTCCCTTTTCTCTCTCCCCCTCTCTTCCTCCTCGCGCTGTTTCCCCCCACAGCTGTCTCCTGCCAACACGCTCATCGCCCTCAACGCCGCCATCGTCGGCCTCTGCTCCTCCTCCCCTCCGCCAATCCCCTCCCTGCCGCCTCCGCCCTCAATGCCCGCGGACCCCTCCCCCTCTGCTCATGGTGCTGCTACTCCAACAGCAGCGGCGCCACCAGCACCACCGCCAGAAGCAGCAGAAGCAGCAACGGATGCAGCAGCAGCAGAGATGGACATAGCAGCAGACCCAGCCGCAGCAGAAAACAACATAGCAGCAGTGCGAGGAGCAGAACCAGGAGCAGCAGCAGGGGCAGTGCCAGGCTTCCCACATGTGGTTTGGAACCCCCAGGAAGCCGCTCTCCTGCCCTGCCTCTCCTTCGGTACTGCCCCCTCTGCCTCCACACGCTCTCCACCACCCTTCATAACATTCCATGACATGCACTCGGGCCCCCCTCCTGCAGCTGGCTCTCACCCACCTGCCTATATGCCCGTGCTTCATGCATTCTCACTGCTCCCGTCTCTCTCATCGTGCGTGCCTATGCCTGCCGCCAGGCGTGGTGAGGGGCGTGGACGCCAGCAGGGGAGTGGCACACGTGGTGGCGCCGCTACCTCTCGCCCGCATGCACCATGTTGACACACTTCTCATCTCGCACCTCCACCTGCCCTCACCGCTGCTGCTGGTGAGTTTCGAATGGTCTTGCACCTATGGTTCTGCGTTCTCTCTCTCATATTAACTTTGGTACTACCACCTGCGTTTATCCGCAGTCTCGAGAATTCTCGAATGTGACTGGAATGCACCACGTCACGTCAACATGCTCCTTACCTGCTTGTATCAGTTTTGATTCCAGAAGTTAAACAAATATGCTCCCCCTTTTATTTTCCAGCTCTCTCTCTTGCTCTCCCTTGCCTTTGTCTCCCTCCTTCTCCCCAACCACCCAGTGCAACGACCTGGCCTCACCGTACCTCTGCTTCCACTCTCTTGCCGATGCCCCTCCCAACTTGCTGTGCTCCCGTATACCCCGCCCCCTACTCCCCTCCATTTGCCTCGCCCCTCTCCCCTCCCCTTCCCCCCAACCCCCCAGTGCAACGACCTGGTGTCGCCGTACCTCTGCTTCCACTCGCTCGCCGACGCCCCTCCCAACTTGCTGTGCTCCCTTACCCCCTACCCCAACCCCCCACCCCCCATTCGCCCCGCCCCTCTCCCCTCCCCCCCACCCCAGTGCAACGACCTGGTCTCGCCGTACCTCTGCTTCCACTCGCTCGCCGATGCCACTCTAGGCGCCAAGGAGCTGCCCATCAGGGAGGTCAAGCGGTGATGCGCGGTGAAGAGCGGTGAAGAAAGGTGAAGGGCCGTGAAGTGCAGTAAGGCGCGTTGAGGTTGAGGTGGTGTGAAGCGGTGAGGCACTGATGATTAGTGGATAGTGTAGGGATGTGATATTGGCACTAAGCTCGTTGCCTTTGGCCATAAGCCTGAAATGCACATTGTTTGAAATGCATAATGCCAGTGTTGCGGAATCGTTAAAATTGAAACAGAAGACTTGGCATCAAGGGATTGATTATGGCTTCACAATGCATAGGTGTGTATCTGTTAGAATATGGTGTATTCTTATATAATTGCATGTTTTAGCTAGTAGTGTAGGGTCTTGGTGGTATATGTCAAATACAATAGTTATAGACTGTAGTGAGTTGCATTCTAGAGGGTACAGATGCTAGGGTTTCCTATTTGTATCCAACACTTTGCTAGTTCATCCATTCCGTTGTGTTTAGATTCTGAGACGGTATCCGAGTAGGTTCCGTTCCTAGCTCCCCGCCCTACCCTAGCCTAGCCTAGCGCCTTCGCGCCTTAGCGCCCTCCGCGCCCTCCGCGCCCTTTGCGCCTTAGCACCCTCCGCGCCCTCCGCGCCTCCGCGCCTTAGCGCCCTCCTAGCCCGGCCGCGCCCTCCGCGCCTTCGCGCCCTCCTAGCGCCCCTCCCCACGGTCGACCGCCCCTCCCCACTGTCGTGCGCGCCCTCCTCACCGTTCCGCGCCATCCGCGCCCCTAGCCCGTCGCCCAGGCCCGCGCCCTAGCCCGTCGTCCAGGCCCGCGCCCTAGCCCGTCGCCCAGGCTCGCGCCCTAGCCCGTCGCCCAGGCCCACGCCCTCGCCCGTCGCCCAGGCCCGCGCCCTAGCCCGTCGCCCAGGTTCGCGCCCTAGCCCGTCGCCCAGGCCCGCGCCCTCGCCCGTCGCCCCAGCCCGCGCCCTAGCCCGTCGCCCCGGCCCGCGCCCTAGCCCGTCGCCCAGGCCCGCGCCCTAGCCCGTCGCCCAGGCCTGCGCCCTAGCCCGTCGCCCAGGCCCGCGCCCTAGCCCGTCGCCCAGGCCCGCGCCCTAGCCCGTCGCCCCAGCTCGCGCCCTCGCCTAGGCCCGCGCCCTCGCCTTAGCCCTCCCCCCCACCTTAGCCCGCGCCCTACCAACGCCCTCGCCAACGGCCGCGCCCTAACCCACGCGCCACCTCCTCCTAACGTCCCAACCGCCCCTTCTCACCTAGCCACCGCCCTGTCCTTCGGGCTCAAACCGTTCGTACTGCTACTGGCTTCTCACTCCGCGGCTGGCAGCCGCCTCTCGCTCCGGTCACTAGATTTCGACCCGGGTCGCACTTAGCTCCTAGCCTCTAGCCCCTAGCCCGGTTTCCTCCTCCAATGGCGCTCCTACGACTCCTAGGTTCACCTCCGCCGTTCCTAGCCTAGCGTCCAATATGGACTCCTCCCGCCGCCTTCGTTTCGATGCGGAGGGACGACCGATCGAGTTCAGTACCTGGCAGCGCCAGGCCACGCGCTACCTCACCAGTCAGCGTCAGGACGGCGCCACCCTGTGGGCCCACGCGTCTGGTGCCCTCAAGGCGCCCCTGTCTCCCGACCCCCTCCCGACCGACCCAGAGCCGACTCCTGCGGCGCAGGCGGACTACGACCGTCGTGTCTTGGCAAGGGACGTGTGGGACTCTCGCGACGCTGCCGCCACTCTTGCGCTGACGGAGCTTCTCCCCCCGACTGAGGCCGCCCACTTTGACCAGGTGGAGACAGCTCAGGGGGTTTGGGCTGCTGTTGTTGCACGCTATTCCACCACTTCCTCTGCCTCCCTCAGTCGCCTCCTCATGCCGTTCGTGTTTCCCGACCTCGGCTCGTTTGCGACTGTGTCCGACCTAGTGACTCACCTTTGCTCACTTGACGCCGGTTTCCGAGCGGCCTGTACCGACGCCCAGCTTCTTGCTGCCCCCCCTCCCCCCCCCCCCCCCCCCCCCCCCCCATGTGGCTCACTGTGCACTGGTTAGTCACCCGCCTCCCTGGCCGCCTTGCCACTGCTCGCGACGCGCTTCTCCAGAAGCACCCCACTGAGCTCACTATCGATCTCCTTGAGACCGCTCTCGGGACGATCGAGAGTAGCCTCCTCACCGTTGCCTCCGCCACTGACGCGGTGCCCCCCCGTCTCTTTGCGGGGTGTGCCGCCCCTCAGCTTCCCACTTTCACTGCTACCCGCGCTTCTGCTGCTATGTCGGTTTCTGGGGACACTGCTGCCGTTTCTGCCGCAGACTGGCAGAAACGGGGCAAGAGTGGCAAGAAGGGCGGGAAGGGGGGAGGTGGACGCGGTGGAGGCGGCGGTGGATGTGGCGGTGGAGGTGGGAGCGGCGGTGGTGGAGGCGGTGGCGGCGGCGGCGGCGGAGGTGCACCAGGCGGAGGGGGCCTTGGAGGAGGTGCAGGACAGACAGGCCCGCCCACTGGCGGTGGCCCGACCGGTGGGGGTGTTGGACCCCAGCAGCAGCAGTCGCAGCAGCACCAGCCACAGCAGGGACAGCAGCAGCAGCAGGGACCGCAGCAGCAGCAGGCACTGTAGCAGTTCCAGCAGTGGGGGCCCCCACTGCAGTGGGGTCCGCAGCACCACTGGGGTCCCCCGCCGCAGTGGGATCCGGGAGGACCAGGGAGCACCGGCCGCAGCGGCAGCACTTCCAGATGGGCCCCTCGCCCCCCTCGCCGTGACACTGGCCCCTGCACCCACTGGTGCGTCACCGGACCTGGCAGCCCCTGTCTCTGCGGTCGTGACGACCACTCTGCCGCGCGGTGCTTTCGCCGCCTCGACGACCTCTACCGTGCTCGTTGGGGCCCTACGGCGACCACGCCTCGCTGGGCTCGCCTGTTAGCCCATAAGATTGATGTGTTTGATCTGTCCATGGACGATGCTCGTCAGCATGCTTTGTATGCTGATGTTGACTATAGTGCAGATGGATCTGTGTGCTCGCGTGTTCGTAGATTAGCTTGCTTGCCTCCTGCTAGTGTAGACTTCTGCCTTTCTAGTCTAGGTGCTTGTGTTGCTGCTCTAGGTGCTTGTGTAGCCACTAGGACAGGTGACCCTCCGGCTGAGGCGTCCCTGTCCTTCACGCTGGACTCTGGTGCGTCTCAGTGCTTCTTCCGCGACCACACGACCCTCACGCCACTCCTCACTCCTGTTTCAGTAGCTCTGGCTGGTCCTACCTCAGGACCAGCCGTTGCGCGTAGCTCCACTACCCTCCCATGTCCTGTGGTCCCCTCTGGTGTCCTGCGCGGCCTCCACATCCCCTCGTTCACTCGGAACTTGGTGGGTGTTGGTTACCTCCAGGACAGAGGGATCACGGTTACCTTTGTTGGGGGTGGGAGGACTGCGATCTGTACAGACGCTGCCACAGGTGCTGTTCTGGCCACGTTCACTAGGGAGCCCCGCTCCGGTCTCTACGTTCTCCACACCGAGCGCTCCCCGGTTGCGTCCTCCGCTCAGGTCGTTGCGTCCCCTCCAGTCCAGGTGTTCAGTCCGGTTGCTGTGTCTAGCCAGGTGGTCGTGTCTTGTCCAGTTGCAGTGTCTAGTCAGGTCGCACTGTCTAGTCCAGTCTCTTCGTCCTGCTCCTGTCAGTCCCTCACCCACCGGACCGTCTTGTGGCACCACCGCCTTGGCCACCCGTCGATCCCCCGCCTATGCGGGATGATCACTCACGGGCTTGTCACCGGTCTCCCACGCACCTTTCCGTCGCTCCCCACCTCCCCTGCTCCCCCTTGCACTCCTTGCGTCGCCGGTCACTTACGCGCCACTCCCCACTCCTCCTCCCTTCGTCCGGCCACTGCTCCCTTCGAGACCCTCCACTTGGACGTCTGGGGCCCTGCCCCGACGCAGGGTTCTGGGAGGGAGCGTTACTTTCTGGTGGTCGTCGACGACTTCTCCAGGTACACCACAGTGTTCCCTCTCGCGAAGAAGTCCGAGGTGACTGCTACGCTGATCCGGTGGCTTCTGGCTACTGAGGGCACTCGTGGTCGTCGTGTCAGTTGTCTCCACTCCGACCGTGGGGGCGAGTTTCGCTCCGGCATTCTTGGCGGATTCTACGGCGAACAGGGCATCGTACAGTCCTGGACGCTTCCGGAGTCCCCACAGCAAAATGGGGTTGCTGAGCGCCACATTGGCCTGGTCATGGAAATTGCTCGCACGTCCATGATCCATGCCCGTGCGCCCCATTTTCTGTGGCCCTAAGCGGTTCGCTACGCCGCACACCAGCTGAACCTCCAGCCGCGTATCTCGCGGCCCGAGGCTTCACCGACCAGTCTTTGGACCGGTTCCCCTGGTGTTGGGTCGGCCTTTCGTGTCTGGGGCTGCCTTGCGCTTGTTCGCGACACCTCCGCAGACAAGCTCTCGGCACGCGCCGTCCCCTGTGTCTTCCTTGGTTTCCCAGTGGACTCTGCTGACTGGTCCTTTTACCACCCGCCCCTCCACCAGTTCCTAGACTCCCGTGACGTCCGGTTTGACGAGTCTGTGTCCTACTACACCCGGTACCCCTGTCGAGGTCTCCCGGTACCCCCTCCCCCTCTTTTCCTCGCACCCTCTCCTCCTCCTGCTCCCGCTCCTCCGGTACCCCCGCCCCCCCCTGGTCCTGCCCCGTCTGGTGTGTCCCACACTACCCCTCTACCCTCGGTCGCGCGTCAGGTCGCGTCTCCCTCCCCGCAGTCTTCCTCACAGTCCCCTCAGCAGCCTTCGGCACTTCCGCGACAGGTTACTGTGGACTCGGTTGGTGTTGGAGCTGGAGGTGCAGCCGCTGGCGGTCCTCGGTCTGGGGGTGCTCGTTTGAGGGGTGCTGGAGCTGGAGGTGCTGGCGCAGGTGGCGCCAGCTCGGGGGGTGCTGGAGCTGGAGGTGCTGGCACTAGAGGTGCTAGTTCTGGGGGTGCTGGAGTTGGAGGTCCTGGCACAGGAGGTGCTAGTTCTGGGGGTGCTGGAGCTGGAGGTGCTGGTTCTGGGGGTGCTGGTGCTGGAGGCGCTGGCACTGGAGGTGCTGGTTCTGAGGAGACTTGAGCTGGAGACACAGGTTCTGCGGAGTCCACTCCGCCTCCCCACCGCCACGACACGCGTCTCCAGGCGGCCCGTCGGCATGAGCGTGAGGAGCAGGTGCTGTTGGAGAGGGAGCGGCAGGAGTTGCGCCAGTTGGACCTGCTGGAGCAGCAGCAGCAGCAGCAGCAGCAGCAGCAGCAGCAGCAGCAGCAGCAGCGGCAGCAGCAGCAGCCGCCGCCGCAGCAGCAGACACCACCGCCGCCGCCGCGACCACCGCAGCTCCCTCTGGAGCGGCAGTTGTTCCCACCCGTGAGTGGCCTTCGGGCCCTTGGTCTTCCCTCCTCTCCTCCTGTTCACACTCCGTCCCCTCCAGCGTTTGGTCCCACGTTTCTTCCTCCTGACGATAGTCCGGCGGTCTGGTCTTCTCCTCCACCGCAATCTCCTCCACCAGTTGTCCCACACTCTCGTGTCCGTCCCTGTCCTCCACGTGCTCATCACTCGTCTCCCGTTACCGACCTCCGCACTGCCCTCCTTTGTTCGTCTCTTCGTCGTCCTCCTCCTGAGTCCGTTCTCCCGTCTCCTCCTCCGTCCTCTCTCCCTGTCCCCCCTACTCCTATCACTGACTACTACCGTGCTGTTCGTCCTGTTGTCTCCCGTGTCCTCGCCACTCTTGTCACCGACCCTCGTTTCCCTCCGTCGTCTGTCTCGGCTCTCACTGCCGCTGTCGCTGAGTTTGCTGCCGCTAGCCGCCTTGACTACACCACCCGTGTGGTGCCAGCTCCTCCCTCCTATCCTCTGTCCGTCGGGGGTGAGTTTGCCCTTGGCTGTGACGTCCTAGAGGACAGAGAGTCTGAGCTGGAGTACTGGGCACCCGCTTCTCCCTCTGTCTGTGCCATGCTGCTATCCCCTGAGGGAGACCCCGACGCCCTTGACATACCGACTCCTCGTACTTACCGCGAGGCAGTGTCAGGGGCGTGGGCCTCTCAGTGGGAAGCGGCTATGGCATCAGAGTTAGCCTCTTGGAGATCCACAAGCACCTACGTCGACGGAGTTCCCCCTCCCAGGGCGAACGTAGTCGATGACATGTGGCTCTTCAAAGTGAAGCGGCCGCCTGGTTCACCGCCTGTGTTCAAGGCGCGCTACGTGGCTAGGGGTTTCAGTCAGCGTGAGGGAGTTGACTTCTTCCAGACCTTCGCCCTGACCCCGAAGATGACTACTCTTCGGGTGTTACTGCACGTAGCAGCACAATGAGACTACGAGCTGCACTCCCTTGACTTCTCCACTGCGTTTCTCCAGGGCCGACTTCACGAGAAGATCTGGCTGCGCCGCCCTCCTGGCTTCACTGACACCTTCCCACCTGGGACCCAGTGGAGCCTGAGGCGGCCAGTCTACGATCTCCGCCAGACGCCCCGTGAGTGGCACGACACTCTTCGCTCCACGCTTCGTGACCTTGGGTTTAGTCCGTCGTCCGCCGACCCGTCGCTGTTTGTTCGGGCTGGTTCCACTCCTTTCTTCATCCTTGTCCATGTCGACGACTTGGTTTTTGCTACAGCAGACAGGGCAGCTCTGGCTCAGGTGAAGTCCGAACTGCAGAAGAGACACAAGTGCACTGACCTAGGTGAACTCCAGCGCTACCTTGGCCTGCAGATCACCAGGGACAGAGCCGCTCACACCATCACACTGACTCAGTCACACATGGTGTAGCAGGTCCTTCGGCGGTTCGACTTCTAGTTCTCCACCACACAGCCCACACCTCTTGCGGTTGACCACAGACTCACCGGCCCCTTTCCGGACGAGCCCTTTGAGTCCAGTGGTCCCTACGCAGAGCTGGTGGGCTGCCTCATGTACCTGATGACTTGTACTCGGCCGGCCCTCGCCTTTCCCCTCAGCATCCTTTCTCGCTTTGTTGCGACTGGGAGACACCGTCCTGTCCACTGGAAAGCTGCTGTGAGGGTGGCGAAGTACCTGGCGACTACATCAGGCACGAGGCTTGTCCTTGGAGGGACTCAGCCAGTGGCGTTGACTGGTCACTGCGACTCTTCCTACGCTGACGACGTGGAGACTCAGCGCTCGACTCAGGGTTACTGCTTCAGTCTGGGAGCTGGTGTTGTGTCGTGGAGGTCTACACGGTCGTCGTCTGTGGCTACTTCCAGTGCAGAGGCAGAGATCTCACTGGTGCTATGGCGGCACAGGAGTTTCGCTGGTTGACCTTCTTTCTCGCCGACCTTGGTGAGCGGCCTCGCTCTGCACCGACCTTGCACGCTGACAACAAGGCCATGATCCTCCTCTGTCGAGAGCCTCGACTGGAGAGCAGAGTGAAGCACATTGACGTGAGGTACTTCCTCCTGCGAGAGCTGCAGCGACACGGCCAGGCACGCCTGGACTTTGTGGCCTCAGAGGCCAACACTGCAGACGTCTTCACCAAGGCCCTAGCGCTTGGTGACCACCACAGGTTCTGTGTGCAGTTGGGGCTTGTTGAGGTAGGCCCTCGGTTGCTGTAGTCTTGTTGCTTGCTCTGCTTGTTGTGCTTTCCAATATATATCCTAGTGAACTCTTGAACTGGCCTTGTGGCCGCTTGCTTGCGCTCGGAATTTGTGTGGTGTCCTTGAGATCCACCCTGAGCTTGCTTTGCTTCTTGCTGACTGGTCTTGTGACCGTTTCTCTGCCTTGCTTGTTTTTTATGCCCCTCACTTAGCCTATGGGGGTGTGTCAAATATGATAGTTATAGGCTGTAGTGAGTTGCATTCTAGAGGGTACAGAGGCTAGGGTTTCCTATTTGTATCCAACACTTTGCTACTTCATCCATTCCGTTGTCCACCTTTCCTACCTATTTCTTGTAACTCTCTCATATTGCAAACCCCTCTTTTGTTTGGCCAACACCTCTCCTTCCTAGCTCCTAGGGTTTCCATGTCTCCTAAGTTCTAACTACATCTCTTGACATGGTACAGAGCAGTAAAACGGTCTAAGGACCTACCTTTTTCACAGAACATGGGCCCGCCCATACTATAGCGCGAAATGCAAAAAAAAAAAAAATCGTCGTTGGTCGCGCCCGAGGTGCCTGCCTGTCCCGTCCCGTCGTGCCCGTCGCGCTCTGCCCGGTCGCGCCCGAAGCGCCTGCCCGTCCCATCCCGTCGACGCCCTGCGCTCTGCCCGATCTGCCCGTCGCGTCCCCCGCTCGTCGCGCCCGTCACCCTGCCCGTCGTCAGCGCCAGCGCGGACTGCTAGCGCCAGCACCAGCGCCTGCAACTGCTGCCGGCGCCAGCGCGGACTGCAAGCGCCAGCGCCAGCGCGGAGCGCCAGCGCCAGCGCCGACGCGTGCGCCAACGCCGGCCGCTGCTCACGCCGCCCCCCCTTCCTCCCTTCCGCGGCTTCCGCCGTGGGGGGGGAGATGTGGGGGTGGCGGGTGTGAACCGCCAGCAACCCGTCCCTCCCTTCCTTCTTCCTCTCTTCCTACATCACTGGTTGCTGTTGGGGGGGGGGGAAGGGAAGATGTTAAAGCCCAAGACCTGAATTACTTTTCAGATACGGTAATATATTTATTGTTGAACTCCTTGGTATTGGTCATGTGTATGACTGCTCTGAGGCTCATAATCCTGTATTATAAAAAAATATCCAATACATGGCATGGCTATACGTCGTGTTACTATCAGACAGCCAGCACATGCACAACCAGATGCAGAGCAGACCTGTCCAAACACAAACCAAGAAGTCAGATTTGACGTGGCTGAAGTATAAGGGAAGCAAGCATGCAAAAGAAAGACAACTGGCAAATGAGGAAGGGAGGAACGGAGGAAGGGACGAAGTGAGGAATGCAGGAATGAAGGAAGGGAGGAAGTGATGATGGGAGGAAGGGAGGTAGGGAGGACGCTTGGGGGAGAAGCAGAAGGGAGGGGAGGAAGAGAGGCTGGGGAGGAGGGTGGGGAGGAGAGAGGGTGGCAGGGAGGTAACGAGGATGGAGGATGGGAGGAACAGATGGAGGTGAGGTACGGCAGATGGGAGACATGGAGGAACGGGGTGGGGAGAGGAGGGAATGAGAAAACGATGGGTTTGGTAGAGGAGGGATCGCGAGAGGAGGGATAGGGGGAGGAGTTGGGGATAGGATGGACGGGGAGGAGGGGATGGGTATAGAAAGGGATGGATAGCGGAGGTGGTGAAGAACGAACCTTTTGGCGAGGCGGAAGATGGGAAGAAGCACGGAGGAGAGGGGACGGGGTGGAGGTGACGGGGAGGTCGCGGGATGGGGTATGACCGTATGGTGGAATGGTGAAAGTTGGCAGAGGGAATGATGGGATCGGGAAAGGAGGGATGGGGAAACGAGGAAAAGGGGATGAGAAGTAGGATGGCATGGCGGAATGGGGTGGGGCAGAAAGGGGTGGGGCGGAATGGGGTGGGGCAGAAAGGGGTGGGGCGGAATGGAGTGGGGCAGAAAGGGGTGGGGCGGAATGGGGTGGGGCGGAATGGGGTGAGGCGGATTGGGGAGATGAGGGATGGGGAGATGAGGGATGAGGAGATGAGGGATGGGGAGGTGTGGGATGGAGAGGAGAGGGCTGGGGAGGAGAGGGATGGGGAGGTGAGGGATGAGGAGATGAGGGATGGGGAGATGAGGGAAGGAGAGATGAGGAATGGGGAGATGAGGGAAGGGGAGATGAGGAATGGGGAGATGAGGGAAGGGGAAATGAGGAATGGGGAGATGAGGGAAGGGGAGATGAGGAATGGGGAGATGAGGGAAGGGGAGATGAGGAATGGGGAGATGAGGGAAGGGGAGATGAGGAATGGGGAGATGAGGGAAGGGGAGATGAGGAATGGGGAGATGAGGGAAGGGGAAATGAACGTGTATGTGACGGAAGGGTGCTGCTGACCACGCACCCTCCCACACCCCACGCGATGGGACGGGATGAGAGGGTGGGCGGCATGGGTAGAGAAGCGATGGTGAAGAGGGGGAACGTGATGGGCAGGGGAGTGATGACGACGTGGAGAGAGGAGGAGAGAAGGGAGGTCGGCGGGAAGGCTAAGCGAGGACGATGGGAGGCCAAGCGTGGGCGACAGTGGCGGTGGGCGACGGTGGCGTGGGCGACGGTGGGGAGAAGCGTGGGCGACGGTGGGGGGAAGCGTGGGCGACGGTGGGGGGAAGCGTGGGCGACGGTGGGGGGAAGCGTGGGCGACGGTGGGGGGAAGCGTGGGCGACGGTGGGGGGAAGCGTGGGCGACGGTGGGGGGAAGCGTGGGCGACGGTGGGGGGAAGCGTGGGCGACGGTGGGGGGAAGCGTGGGCGACGGTGGGGGGAAGCGTGGGCGACGGTGGGGAAAGCGTGGGTGACGGTGCTCCGAAGCGTGGGCGACGGTGGGAGGAATCGTGGGCGATGAGAGGGGAAACGTGAGGGAAGGTGGGGAAAGGCGTGAGCGACGGTGTGGGGGAAGGCAGGAGGAAGCGTGAGCGGCGAGTAAGGGGAAGCGTGAGCGACGGTGGGGGAAAGCTTGGGCGACGGTGGGAAGAGTGGGCGTGTGCGTGGGGAGGTGTGTGAGAGACGGTGGGGAGAAGCGTGGGGGACGCGGAAGGCGATAGGTCCAAATGCGATGTTTGGGAAAGGGCTAGGAATAAAGGTGAAAATGCTCATGGCCTATGCTTTAGTGGCGTTTTATTCTATCTCTTCGCATGCTCTAATCGCTTCGCGTACTATGGAAATCACACGACCTGAATTACCGAAGAAGGCAAACTGTGCACATTTTGAGCCCTTGTTCCTTCAGGAGGGTGTGGTTGGGACTCTCGCCAACCAAACCCGTTCTGCTCTACGACTCCGTGTTTCTTGGCGCAATGTTTTCTGGTAACCAGCCTGGCTCGGGAGGTCAACTGTGGGTTCGGTAGGCAAACTGTGCACAGTTTGCCTTCCTTTTTTTGTAATTCAGGTCTTGGGCTTTAACATTCACTGCGAATGCTTTGATAGTTTCCCATGCACACTGTGTGCAAATTGCCGTTTTCGTGTGCAATACGAATCCAATATTGATGGATCACGCACCGTCACGCACGATCGCGCGCAATCTCTTTTTCGATTGTGTGGTTGATGGATCACGAACGGTCACAGAGCATTTCAGCCAGTCGAGCTGATGCCGCGAAATCTCGGATTGGCTCGGTGGTCCAAGAAGCAATCCCCGCAGCCAATGACACATCGCATGATCAGTAGTCATCTGCGGATATCATGAAATGTGTTAGGGGACATTGTTTCATCACAGCTGTCACGCTTGTATCCGACAAGGAGATTGGAGTGTGGGGATGTGTCGCTAGTAGTGCATCATGTCGCGCCGGCGACTCTTTTCTTTCACTGAACGAAAGCATGCCGTGCGCGGAAGGGCGCGCCGCGCCACCCATCCGCTCCGCGCCTTTCCTCTCGACTTGTCTCTAGTCGGGTTGATCCTGACTTTGATGCCGAAACTCGCGTCGCGAAGTTGCGAAGGCGCGAGTCAAAATTTTGACTCTCGATGACCGTGTGTGATAGACCAGCGCCGCATTCAAGGAGGAATTTTGACTCTACGTTGTAACATTCGTTCGGCAGCTTGTGATGGTTCTGCAACCCTGGACAAATTCGCAGTGTAACCAGTTGCACCTGACACAGAGGGTGGTGGTATTCACGTTGCAGCACGCTGGACTAGAGGGATGCCCGTTTTGTCGGTGTGATGGCACTGTACACCATCCCCGACCTGACCCTAGGTTTGTCCCGCAGGTTAGGTTTCAGTACACAAACTGCCGGCCTGGATGCTGGTGCAAATAAACGACAAAGTTTTAAACAATTACATGGCGAATGAACTTAACACTGAAACGGGTCTGACTTTAACCTTCTACACGCTGTTACTTTTCTACTGCAGATGGATCCCCCGAAACCCAACCTTCGTAGCATAGTTCCCTGCATGATTGGACATTGTTCACACATAGCTCACGTAGGATAGTTCAAAGAATGCATCGATCGTTGGCATGTTTTGGGGGCCAGGAATTTTGTGACGTTCTACGCGGGAGGGGGCGAAGGTGCGCGTGGGGGGAGTGGATGGGGTCGGTGGATCGGTAGGGATCAATGGGGGGAGGGTGGGTGGTGGGAGCGCGGAGAGGATCCACTCAGCTCGAAGCAGAGCCCAAGGGGAGTGAAGGGAGGCAGTATCAGTCACATCGTACTTAAGCCGCTCGGCTTTCGCTACCACATATCGGCGCCTCTCCTTCCACTCCCTCTCGTGACACGCCACTGAGCCCTCGGAGGCTCATCGTCTCTCATCTGCGGCACTGCTGCCGCTAGTGCTTCCAGCCTGTCTCGCCCCACCTGTTGGCTGTGGGCATATCATCAGCGTCATCAGTGTCATCACCATGGCTTCGCACGCCGTGCCTGTCACGCGGAGCTTCGCTCTCGTGCTCGCTGCACTGGCTGCTCTCACGCTCTCAGGTATGCCCTCGCGCGCTTGAATCTGCTATGATCAGGTTTCCCCCCCTTTCCCCGTTCCCCCTTTCCCCCTCATCCCCACTCAGTGGGCTGTTACCTTTCCCCCGTCCCCCCTTCCCCCATTTCCGCACCACCTTTGCGCCCAGTACTGCCGCGCCGCTCGCCTGCCAATAGTTAGACCTCCTGCTGCCGCTCACCCGTGCTGATACTGCTCACCCGTGCTGATACTGCTCACCCGTGCTGATACTGCTCACCCGTGCTGATACTGCTCACCCGTGCTGATACTGCTCACACGTGCTGATACTGCTCACCTGATGCCATTCACCTCCTCCACGTGATCCTTTCCCACTTTCCCGTCTCATCCCATTCTCCTTCCGTCCTTCCCCTTCCCCCCTGCTCCCCCCCACCCCGCCTTCCCCCACCCCTCCCCCATCCGCTCGCAGCCTGTGCGCCCAGGGCTGCTGCCGTTCGCCTGCCACCTGCAAGCAACGCCGCCGACCGTAAGTCAGCAGTTTGGTTGTCAGTCAAATCACTCCACCTCGCTTTGCACTCCATGCGTGCAAGCTCCACCTCACCTCGCTTTTGCCTCCTCGTTTTTCTCTCTCCTCATCCCTTCCCTCTCTGTTCCTTCCCTTTTGGATCCTCTCTTTCTCCCTTGGACGCTATGAAATCTGCCCTTCAGACTCATGTGTGCAGAGGATCTGTGGCGCCAATGCGGTGTGCGTGAAGGACAGGGGCGATGCCACCTGCGTCTGCAACCCTGGATTCGCCATGACCCCCACCGGCTGTGTTGGTGAGTCATTGCTGCTGCTGGTGACTGCTGATCTCGTCGTGGCTGCTGTTGTGGTGAATGCTGCTGTCGTGAGTGCTGCTGTGAATTACTGATTTAGAGTCTTTGTGATGCATGTGCATCTCCCTTACTCTTTTCCCTGTCGCCCCACATGTTTTCCCCTGCTATCCACTCGCCCAGACACATGCGCACTCAAGAAGTGTGGCGTCAATGGCAAGTGCATCAAGGACAGTGCAGGAGTGGCGTCATGCGTGTGCGACACTGGCTTCGCGCTGCAGCCTGATGGCATCACATGCACTGGTGCGTGCTGAATCCCGCATGCACTCATGTGTGCTGATATATATTGTCCGACAAAGAGGGTACAGCATCAGTTCCTCTGCTCCCTCCTTCGCTCCCTCCTTCCCTCCTCCTTCACTCCCTCCTTCGCTCCCTCCTTGGCTCCCTCCTTTGCGCCCTCCGGCCTGCATGCCTCCTGTGTGTGCAAGACTGGGTACGTGATGGCAAGGGGCAAATGCACTGGTGCATCATTATGCAAGACCAATTTTGGTATCTCTTGTTCAATCCGGTCCGTCCCTTGTGGCAGATGTGTGCACCATCAAGAACTGCCAAGACTCGGATGCCAATTCCGCTTGTGTGAAGAATGGGAACCTTGCGACCTGTGTGTGCAAGACCGGATACGCCATGGCGAACGGCAAATGCACTGGTGCGTTTGTCCGTTGCGTTGTGCTTTCGTAGCATGCACTAAATTGTGTGTGTGTGTCACTGTGTGTGTGTGTGTCACTCTGTGTGTGTGTGTCACTCTGTGTGTGTGTGTCACTCTGTGTGTGTGTGTCACTCTGTGTGTGTGTCACTCTGTGTGTGTGTCACTCTGTGTGTGTGTGTCCCTCAGTGTGTGTGTCACTCTGTGCGTGTGTGTCACTCTGTGTGTGTGTGTGCGCGTGCGCGCATGTGTGTGTTTCTTTCTTATCTTTTCTCACTGCTCTCTCAAGCTACCTCTTGGTGACTTCTCTCCACCTTTACTCTCCTCTCCCCCATCCCTCCCTAATCCCAGATACCTGCGCGATTCAGAACTGTGGTGTGAACGGCCAGTGCGTCAAGAACAGCGTTACTGGAGTGGCGTCCTGTGTGTGTGACACTGGCTACGTGCTGCAGGCGGATTGCAAGACGTGCACTGGTGCGTGCTGAACCTGTGCTGCTCTGCTGAGCAGCTTCTATGTGCTGCTGTGCTGAATTTATTCCCATTGGTTCCATTCTCAAGGACCTAGTTTGAGATCCCCTTTCTTGTTCAATCTGGTCCGTCCCTTGTGGCAGATGTGTGCACCATCAAGAACTGCGCAGGCTCGGATGCCAATTCCGCTTGTGTGAAGAATGGGAACCTTGCGACCTGTGTGTGCAAGACCGGATACGCCATGGCAGAGGGCAAATGCACTGGTGCGTTTACTGGTTGCGTTGTGTGTGTGACTGTGTGTGTCTGTGTACGTGTGAGGTTGTACGTGAGCGCGTGCGTGTGTGTTTGTGTGCGTGTGTGCGTGTGTGTGTGTGTGTGTGTGTGTGTGTGTATGTGTGTGTGTGTGTGTGTGTGTGTGTGTGTTTCTTTCGTATCTTTTATCATTGCTCTTTCAAGCAACCTCTTGGTGACTTCTTTCCACCTTTACTCTCCTCTCCCATCCCTCCCCCATCCCTCCCTTATCCCAGATACCTGCGCGATTCAGAACTGTGGTGTGAACGGCCTGTGCGTCAAGGACAGCGTTACTGGAGTGGCGTCCTGTGTGTGTGACACTGGCTACGTGCTGCAGGCGGATGGCAAGACGTGCACTGGTGCGTGCTGAACCTGTGCTGCTCTGCTGAGCAGCTTCTTTGTGCTGCTGTGCTGAGGAGCTTTTTAAGTGCTGTTGTGCTGAGGAGCTTTTAAGTGCTGTTGTGCGGCCAGTGGTTCCATTCTAGTATTCTACTACTCATTGTTCTGAAGGGCCTATTTTGAGATCTCCTTTCTTGTTCAATCTGGTCCGTCCCTTGTGTCAGATGTGTGCATCATCAAGAACTGCACAGGTTCTGATGCCAATTCCGCTTGTGTGAAGAATGGGAACCTTGCGACCTGTGTGTGCAAGACTGGATACGCCATGCAAAAGGGCACATGCACTGGTACGTACGCCGGTTGCGTTGTGCTGACGTAGCGCGCACTTCATCTGTGACTGTGTGTGTGTGTGTGTGTGTGTGTGTGTGTGTGTGTTTTGTTTTTTGTGATTGCTTTCTCAAGCTACGGCATGGTGACTACTCTCCATTATTTTTTCTTCTCTCTCCCACCCCTCCCCCACCCAGACACCTGCGAGATTCAGGAATGTGATGTGAATGGCCAGTGCAACAAGAACAACGTTACTGGAGCGGCGTCCTGTGTGTGTCACACTGGCTTTGTGCTGCAAGAAGATGGCAGAACGTGCGCTGGTACGTGCTGAACCTGTGCTGCTGCTGCTGCTGTGCTGAGGAGCTTCTTTGTGCTGCTGTGTTCAATCCGCGGCCAATGGTTCCATTCCGCTACTCATTCTTCTCAAGGACCTGTTTTGACTTCTCTTTTTTGTTCAATCTGGTCCGTCCCTTGTGGCAAATGTGTGCACCATCAAGAAATGCGCAGGCTCTGATGCCAATTCCGCTTGTATGAAGAATGGAAACCTTGCGACCTGTGTGTGCAAGACTGGATACGCCATCGCAGAGGGCAAATGCACTGGTGCGTTCTCTGCTTGCGTTGTGTGGGTGACTGTGTTTCGGTGTGTGTGAGAGTTTGTGTGTGCGTGCGTGCGTGTGTGTGTGTGTGTGTGTGTGTGTGTGTGTGTGTGTGTGTGTGTGACTTCTCTCCACCTTAACTCTCCTCTCTCCCCCATCCCTCCCCCATCCCTCCCTTATCCCAGATACCTGCGCGATTCAGAACTGTGGTGTGAACGGCCAGTGCGTTAAGGACAACGTTACTGGAGTGGCGTCCTGTGTGTGTGACCCGGATTTCCAGCTGCTGCCGGATAACAGGACGTGCGGCCAACCTTTGAAGAGCGACCTGGATCCTGTCCCCGGGGGGGATCCGGCACCCGGTGGGTGATTCTAGCTTCAACTGCTGCTGGTTGCCTCCAGTGTCATGGTTTCACTGCTATCGATTCTTGTTCAAATTTCTCCCTGCCCCTCCTGCCTGAGTATTTTTTTTTTGTTCAATTATATCCTGGCTCGGCGTGTGACTCAGTTGTTACACTATGTTTCTTTCTACATCCACCCACCCCTGCTCCCACTATTCGTGTCTTGATCTGCCACATCCTTTCACCCCAATTCCTTCTCAGTGTGTGATTCCCCTGAGTGCATTTCGGGATGGTCACACTGCGAGAAGGGGCCGGAAACAGGGTTACCGGTTTGCGTTTGCGATTCCGGGATCACTGCAGCTCGGGCAGCTGCTTTCTATGTAGAGTGTATGGGTAAGTTTCACCATAAACCCTAAGAGGCTGAGAGAGCGAGAGAGAGAGAGAGAGAGAGAGAGAGAGAGAGAGAGAGAGAGAGAGAGAGAGAGAGAGAGAGAGAGAGGAACCTTAGCCTTCCCTCTGCTCCTTCCCTCTGCTCCTTCCCTCTGCCCTCTGCCCTCGGGCCTACTTAAGGGCTGCTGTGGGCTCTTGCTGCTCATTATTTCGTGTGGGTTCCTCACTCTTTCTGGCGGGTTTCAGCCGGCGGGTGCTTCGATCAACAGATCCTTATTGCCCCCCTCTCTCTGTCTTTCCCCCTCTCTCTCATCAGATCCTTGGACTTGAGACCGTCACTCTAGACTTTGTATGGAGTGTATCAGCTCGGGAGTACTTCAGAGCTTGCTCTGACCCTAGTTTGGCTTTGTCATCGATTCGCCTCTTCTGATTACAAGTGTAGCCAGTTCTCCCTTTGCCCTCCATTTCTCTAGTTTCTGCTTTGTTTTTGTGTGGTTTTGTTGTAGTTGTGAAAGTCGCTGCTGTGCTTATGAAATGCATAATATCCATGTTTGTTTCTATAAAGGGGATGAATCTAGGGGCTTGGTTTACAACAAGGCCCTCAGATTCGTTTTGGGCCTCGCTTTTTAGTCAGGGTTGGTACTAAAAAAAAACTTTCTTTCTAGACACATAATCTCAGGCTTATGGCCAAACAAGGGAATTACCAGCCAAATATCACATCGCATGGAAGGATGAGGACAACACCTGGAGATAGTGCGGAGGGTATGGGGTAAAGCAGGGCAGGGGATGGGGGGAAGAAGAGAAGGGGATGGAGGAAAGCAGGGAATGGGATGGGGGGAAGCAGGGAAGGGGATTGCGGGGAGCAGGGAAGAGGACATGGGGAAGGAGGGAATGGGAATGGGAAGGGATGCAGGTAAGGGGAAAGGGGAAAGCAGGGAAGGGGAGGGGGAAAAGCAGGGAAGGGGATGGGGGAAAGCAGGGAAGGAATTGGGGGGAAGCAGGGCTTGGGAATGGGGGGAAGCAGGGAAGGGGATGGGGGGGAGCCGGGAAGGGGATGGGGGAATGCAGGGAATGGGATGGGGGGAAGCAGGGAAGGGGAAGGGGGAAAGCAGGGAATGGGATGAGGGGAAGCAGAGAAGGGGATGAGGGGAAGCAGGGAAGAGGAGGGGGGGAAGCAGGTAATGGGATGAGGGGAAGCAGAGAAGGGGATGAGGGGAAGCGGGGAAGGGGATGGGGGAAAGCAGAGAAGGGGATGTGGGAAAGCAGGGAAAGGGATGAGGGGAAGCAGGGAAGAGGATGGGGGGAAGCAGGGAAGGGGATGTTGGGAAGCAGAGAAGGGGATGGGGGGCAGCAGGGAAGGGGATGAGAGGAAGCAGAGAAGGGGATGAGGGGAAGCAGGGAATAGGAGGGGGGGAAGCAGGTAAGGGGACGGGGAGAAGAAGGGAAGGGGATGGGGGGAAGCAGGGAAGGGGACATGGGGAGGCAAGGAAGGGGATGGGGGGAAGCCGGGAAGGGGATGGGGGAAGCAGAGAAGGGGATGGGGGAAAGCAGGGAAGGGGATGGGGGGGAGCAGGGAAGGGGGTGGGGGAAAGCAGGGAAGGGGATGGGGGGAAGCAGAGAATGGGGCATGGGGATGCAGGGAAGGGGATGGGGGGCACGCAGAGAAGGGGATGGGGGGAAGCAGAGAAGGGGATGGGAGGAAGCAGGGAAAGGGATGGGGGGAAACAGGGAAGGGGATGGGGGAAAACAGGGAAGGGGATGGGGGAAAGCAGGGAAGGGGATGGGGGAAAACAGGGAAGGGGATGGGGGAAAGCAGGGAAGGGGATGGGGGGAAGCAGGTAACGGGATGGGTTGGAGCAGGGAAGGGGATGGGGGGAAGCAGAGAAGGGGATGAGGGGAAGCAGGGAAGAGGAGGGGGGGAAGCAGGGAAGGGGACATGGGGAAGCAGGGAAGGGGACATGGGGAAGCAAGGAAGGGGATGGGAGGACGCAGGGAAGGGGATGGGGGAAAGCAGGGAAGGGGATGGGGGGGAGCAGGGAAAGGGAAGGGGGAAAGCAGGGTAGGGGATGGGGGGATGCAGTTACGAACTGCTGACATATTGGTGACAAGTTTAACATGGCGCTACTCAATGATCCCCATCCACCCATCATTCAGTGCCCCATGCCCTAGCACTCTCCTCCCTCCATGCTCACCTGGTGGAACAGGTGCCTGCAGCAGTGCATGCGGCGCAGCCAGGCAGCATCTTCAAACTCCACCAGGCACACGCAGCACTCAGCTGCCGTTAGACATTCACATGTTACGCCACCTCACTGGCACCACCCGTGCCGCAACTACAAGCCGCTTTCAGACTGCCCTGTAAGCATCGCAGCCGATATTGTGCAGTGCCTCTCACCACCCGGTGAGGCCCATTTAGAACGAGCATCTGGGGATGGCAAGGTCCTGTTGTCAGCACGAGCCCCTGACTTGTCTTGTGACTCTGTGCCTTCCTCAGCCGGGGCTTCCTCTCCTTGCACCACACTTGACCCATCCGCAATCCCCTTGTGCTTCTGATCACACTCTGCATCTGTCGGAATCTCTCTCCTCCTCCATACTTCTCTTCCTGTGTCGGCCTCTTTTAATGATACTTTCTCTAGGCCTCTCTCCCTCTTCAACCCATCAAGTTCCTCAGTTCCCTCTTCATGCCTTGGGTCCTTGGCCCAGCCTTTCCCACTTGAAAGTTCCTAGTCAGAACTACTCCACTAGGAAAACCTATCTCGGCTGCCTACCTGGCACGACAACCCTTAACACTTCAGAGGCTTGCTATGGTTGGCTCCTCCACGGGCATGGTTCTAGAGGTTCTCTAGGATCAATTCTCTGCTTAGAGTGGAAACAAACAAGCAAGCAAGTGACTCTGGCCTTGTTGCTTGCCTAAGTATCTACTTGTGGTTACCGTTGCTAAGCAACGGTCTTTTACTTTTCGCTACTTCGGCACAATTCCCCGCCGACTGCATCTTTGACTCCCGCCTGCTTCTCTACAACACTACACGCTACTGTACTTTGTCTTGCTTTTATATTGTTTCTTCTATCTTCTATTCCTACGATTAAAAGCATGACAGCTGTCGGAATCTCTCTCCTCCTCCATACTTCTCTTCCTGTGTCGGCCCCTTTTAATGATACTTTCTCTAGGCCTCTCTCCCTCTTCACCCCATCAAGTTCCTCAGTTCCCTCTTCATGCCTTGGGTCCTTGGCCCAGCCTTTCCCACTTGCCCCCTCCTCGGCTCCAGCTCTGCTTCCTGCTGCCGATGGACCTCCTGGTTGAAAGGCTGCCCTCCGCTAGGGATCTCTACTCCCCTTCCTGTCTGCTGGGGTGCTCTCTTGGGGCGGGCCCGAGCCACGTTCGTCTGGTGATCCCGCCTCTCTTGACCCTTCTCTCCCACTAGCACCACTACGCCTGAATCCTTGACTTCTTTCACCCTCCATCGTTCCGTGCTCAGTCCTACATCCATCATATCCTGCCTCGCCTGCTTTACGTACACTTCTTCCCCCACGCCCAACCGCTGCCCCCTCTGCTCCGCCTAGCCCTCCTTCCTTCGTTTGTATCTCTGTGCGTCTCGGAGTTGAGCCACTTGCAAGTTCTCTAGTGCCGCTGGCAGCATTTCCCGCAGATATCTTGCCCGCGCTTCCGCCAGCCCCAACCACGCCTCTTCCGAGCTGGTAGTGACCACATCTTCCAGTAGGCGTGGCGCGTCTACGGGTAGGATGGGTTCCCTCCCCAGCAGCAAATAGTAGGGAGAGAAGTCCCTTAGCGCTTCCTGCTTACTGAATCGGTACACCGCTACCACCCAGGGCAGCCGCGCGTCCCAGTCTCTCTTGAAGCGCTCCACGTAAGCCCTTAACCCCCCTTTCACTGTCTGCACGAACCTCTCAGTCGGCCCATCACTCTGCGGGTGATACCGTGACGTCCGCCGGTGCGTAATACCACTCTCTTTCAACAGCTCCTCAAATTCTCCCAAGAACTCGGTGCCTTGGTCGGTCAGCACTTCTCCGCATGCCCCGAATCTAGTCAGCACCTGGTCTTCGAATGCCTCTGCTATCTTCGCTGAGCTCTTGCTGGGCAGCGCCTTGACTTCGACCCATTTACTGCCGTGCTCAATCATGATCAGGATAAATCTCTTGCCTCTCCGACTGAGAGGCATATCTTCTGCCAAGTACAGTGACAAACGGAACCCTATCCCTCTGATAGGTAAGGACTGCAGCTCTTCTCTCCCCCTCTCTAGCTCAGCCCTGTTCCTGCTGCACAACTCACAGGAGCCCACCCACTCCTTGATGTCTCCTCTCATCCCAGCCCACCACCAGCCTGTCTCAATTAGCTGGCTTGTTTGCAAGCTGCCGTAGTGCCCCAGCTGCCGATGCACCTTCGCGATTATCGCTTCCCGCTCCTCTCTCCTGGGTACCAGCTTCCATCCTTCCTTGGTGTTCTTCTGCAACTGCTCCTGGTACCACCGGTAATGCAGCCCCCTAGCCCTGGCTCTTTCACTCACTGGCTCCGCCTCTGAGGTCTTTCCTTGTATCCAGCACAATGTCTCAGCGTCCTCCCAGACGTCCTCAGCTCCCTTCTGTGCTTTCTTCTTCGCTCCTTCCCCGTCTTTTTCCCGAGCTAGCGCTACCAAGCACGCCTCGGGGCTCGTAGGTGGGGGGTTACGTGAGAGCCCATCCACGTGCTGTAACGTCTTTCCAGGCCGGTGCCGTATCGTGAACTCGTATTCCTGCAACCTCATCGCCCACCTAGCGTTCCGACCGGTCAGAGCCTGGTTGGTCATCAGCCACGTCAGAGGCTGATGGTCGGTGACAAGTACAAACGGTCTTCCCTGCAGGCACACGCGGAAGTGGGTAATGGCTTACACTGCTGCTAGCCCTTCTCCTTCGTAGGAGCTGTAATTTGCTTCGGCGGGGTTGCAGCTCCTGCTCGCGAATGCCACGACCATCTCCTGTCCCTCCCTCTCCTGGCATAGGATGCCCCCCATACCCGCACTGCTCCAGTCTGTGTAGAGCACAAAGGGGTCTTCCTTACTGGGCAGGGTGAGGATTGTTCCAGTCTTCACGGCTTTGAGTAACGCTTTTAATGCCCCCTGCTCAGCCTCTCCCCATTGCCACGCCTGCTCTTCTCTCAACAGCTTGTTCAGTACCGAGGCGGTGCGGCTGAAGTTGGGGACAAACATTCGGTAATAGTTGAGGAAACCCAGCACGGCCCTCAGTGTGCTACGGTCCTTGGGAGCGGGGACTCGGTCCAGCACCTCTACCTTCGCTTGCTGGATGCTCAGCTGCCCCCCTTGCACCCCAAACCCCAGGTATTTCACCGAGCTGTTCCCAGAGCTGCACTTCTTTGGATGGCAGGTAAGCCCGGCGTCTCGTATGGCTGCCAAAGTGTCGCTCACATCCTTCACGTGCTTCTCGGCCGAAGCGCTGAACACCACTACATCGTCAATGTAGCAAGCTGCGGCCGGCACATTCCTCAGCACCAAGTCCATCACTCGCTGAAACAGGGCCGGCGCGTTCCGCATGCCAAAGGGCATGAATCTCCACTCGTACAGGCCGTCGGGGCCGTTGAAAGCCGTCTTCTTTCTGTCCTCCTCCTTGATTGGTATCTGATTGAAGCCCTGCCTGAGATCCAGAGTGCTGAACACCACTGCTCCTTGCAAAAGGTCAAATATCTCTTCTGCCGACTGCATGGGATACCTGTCTGCTACCGTCACTTTATTAAGTCCCCGGTAATCCCCACACATCCTCCTTGCCGACACTTCCCCGGTGAGATCTTTCCGCGCGGCTACCACAGTTGCCGCCGCATAGTCACTGTCTGAGATCTGGATGAGGCCCGCCTCCAGTAGCTCGGTGCACTTTTCCCGGCAGATGTCCAGGTCGTCTGGGCTCATTCTCCTTTTTCTCTGGTATATGGGCACCTCTGTGGTCATTTTACCTGCATCTGGTGGGAGTTACATTGCCCTAACTCTTCCAGCGTGTATGCAAAAGTCCTCCTGTGCTGCTTCAGGACCTCTTGCAATGCTCGGGCCGCCTCTGCCCCCATTCCTGCGCCTATGGGCCAGTCATCTTCGGGGCCCCTCTCCTTGTCAGACTTCTCCGCTTGTAAGTTCTCCTCCCCGTCTAGTGGCCGGACTGCTTGCTCAGTTCCCCTTTCCCCTGCTTCCACCGCCATGTAGGCCCACCCTTCTCGAATTCTCGACTCCTGCTGTTCCTCTATCGCCCTCAACTGGCGCTTCCTCCTCTCGGCTTCCTCCTCCTCCTGGTACATCTCATTAATCTCTATGTCACGTTGGAGTTCCTTCCTCTTCAGGTGCATGCGGATGGTCCCCACCAACCACGTCATGACATTCAGATCCATGGCTCTACCCAGCGCGGCCCGCCTCTGGGCCTCCGTCACGCGTGGGTGAGCCGTGGCTCCCAGTCGGTGTCCCATGGCCATCTCCCTTTCTTCTGCCGTAGTTTTCTCCCACCGCTTCCCTCTGACGTCATATATCATTCCCGGCCCGAGTAGATCTCCCTCCATTACGAACCCCCCCGCGTCAACGTATGACACGAGCGTCGGCAGCGCCTGCCTCGGCTTCCCTGGCACATTGCACTGGTATTGCGATGGATGGTCGGAAGAGGTGACTGACGCGGGTAAGCGGTTGGAGCCCAGGATATCGCTGACTAGCCTTGCTTCGGGCCGCTGCATTTGAGCCAGAGCGTGCCGGAGGCTCGCGTCGGGGACCCTGTTCTGCCAGTACCTCCGGGGCCGGTGTGCTCTGGATCCTAGCTGCGCCGCGTCCGCTGCCTGCCCCCTTCCCACGGCTGCCTCGACTTCGGCGAAAGCCCTCCGCACATGTTCCCGGCGATCCTCGGCGAAGTCCACGTTTTCCAGAATGTAAAGTACCTCACCCTGTTTCCTCTGGACCATCTCCAATACTCGCTTTAAGTCCCGAAAGGAGGCCCCCCGGATGTCTTCCATCCCCATCCCTTCTCCCGCTCGGGAGTAACCCTGACACTCCCACCCGGCTATGATCACATCAATCTGCCCCCACTCCTCCAATTGCTCCTCGGTGATATCTCGCACATCGTCCACAATCTCTTCTTCTTCAGCGGGTATGGCTGACTCGGCTATTTGGCCCGGGTATTCTTCCAGTAGCTGCATAGCGTGATGTCGGGCCATCCGTCGTACTACGGGGTCTCTCTCCACATGTACCCACTTCCGCACCCTGCACCCCGCTCTCAGCACCGCCGCCAGTCCCGTGCCTATGCCCCTGTACAATTCCATGACACACAAGGCCCCTTCGAGTGTCCATAGCCTCGTCACTCTCTCGTTCAACGATTTCGGCTCTCCTCCTTTCCTCCTTCGCTCTACTCTCTGTTCGTATTCCTCTGCGTATCTCTCCCAGCTCCACTCGTCCAGCTCGGTACCCAGGTCTGCTTGCCGTACCCCGTAGGCTTCCTGCGGCTCTTGCCTGACGAACTTCACGGGCAAGGTGCCTACGGAACTTTCAGGGTCCCAATAGTGCACGCGGTACAGAACGTTTTCTTGCCATGTGCAAATAGTGGCGCCGACCCGATACAGCAGCTCCATGCCCACTAACACATCATAATCTTCAGACTCGGACACCCCACAGGTCACCCGAATGCAACACTCCTTCTCTGTCCCTGGGAGCAGTACAATTTCGATGGGTCGTATGGTCCGCGGCATCCATTTCGGCTCGCCCCCTTCGGCTGTCATGAGCAGTATCCCTCTCGGTACCACCCTCCCCGGCAGGTCTAGCTTCAGCTGTCTAGCCAATCCCCTTCCGATCAGTACGTGGTGAGCGCCGGTGTCTATGATCGCTTGCCCTACGGGCAACCCTCCCACCGTCATGCTCCCTTTCTCCGCTATCAGGACGGACGCCTGGCACACTAGCCTCTCGTTGGGGTGTCTGCGCAGCTCGGAAGTACTGCTCCCCTCGTGGACGTTGCCTCTCGGCCCCCTCACTCGGCTCGTTCGGCTCTCGGATGTCTGACTTCCCCTTGGCCGAAGGTCGATTTCCTCTCTCTCTCTTGGGAGTGCCATAAAACCGCCTGCTCGCAGATACTCTCCTTCGCTTTCTTCTTCCCCCTCAATCTCCTCATATGCCAGCATCGCGCGGGCTTTCGGCTCGACTCTCGGCTTGGCCTCCAGCTTCAGCTGTAGTTTCTTGATCTCAGCTTGTATCTCCTCTCTGCTGGGGTTCTCCTCGGATCGGCGACGGCTGTAGCATGCTTCTTCCTTGTGCCCCTTCCGTCTGCAATTTCCGCACGTCGGCAACTTCGGACAGTCGCGCTTGAGATGGCCGGGTTCCCCGCACTCATGACAGCGACGCGCCTCCGTCCGCATCGGCCCCCCTTGCGGCGCCTCCACCAGAGCGGCCGCTGCCCAGGAGGATTTCGCTTTGGGTCGAACCTCCCCGTCCTCCAGGTCCAGCATCCTTTGCGCATGCTCCATCCGTTTCGCCAGACCGTACACCTCCGTCAGCGTGATGTCTGCCCCCACGCCGTACACCGTGTTCCGCACTACGCTTCTCAGGTCTTCATCCAAACCTCTCACAAACTTGCGTACTAGAAGTCGTTCGTCCCGACTCTCCAGGTCTTCAGCGAGTTCCTTCAGGTTGCAGTAATAGGCCAGCATCGACTCGTCTTTCCCCCGGCGGAACTCGCGGAACTCCTCCACTCGCGCCTTGGTCTGCCCCAGAAACTCCTTCTTCAGTAACTTAATAAAGCGGGCTGTCGGATTTTCTATCTCTCCACATTCTAACTCCTCCAGCACTTCCTTCCGCGTCATTTGATAGAAAGTCTCCGGCGGAAGAACTCAGCCGGGTCCAGCCCGTCTCTTTCCCAACAGTACTGCACCGTCTCCAACTGCATCAGGTAATTTTTCAGAGTGGGGCCCACTCCTGGGATTCCGGTGAAGCGCTCGGCTACTTCCAGCTTCGGGAGGGCTCCACTAGCCCATTTCTTCTCGCTCGGCAGTTCGTGCATGGGAATGGCCGACGGTAGCCCAGCTGTCTGGCTTTCCACCATGTCCCGGTTAGTCGGCGTCTGAAATTCTCCTTCAGCCTGGCAGCGCAGCCAAGCCGAGGGTCCCGGCACTCGGCCCGCCTCCATCCCCGGCATCTTCACGGGGGAAGTATTTGTCCGTCTCTCTTCCCATCGAGCCCTCGCTTCTCGGGCCCATCGCAGATCGTGTGGCGTCTCTCCTGGATCTGACGCGATGTTACGGGAAGGGTCCATTTCTCCTCGCCGTTCGCGCTCTCGTTGATGCGGGGTTCGGTACGCCACGGACGTCGGGACAGGTGAGCACGGTGCTTCCGCTGCCGCGGTTCGGTCAGAGTTGGTCGTCGCGGCTGCGCGCCAGCTTGGCTCAGCTAAAATATCCTCTCTACGGTATCGTTGTTCGGATCTTAGTTTGAACCTATCGTTCATACTAACTACACGTGATAGCGTATCTCTTTCCCTGCTTGTTTGTTGAAAGTTCCTGGTCAGAACTACTCTACTAGGAAAACCTAACTCGGCTGCCTGCCTGGCACGACAACCCTTAACACTTCAGAGGCTTGCTATGGTTGGCTCCTCCACGGGCACGGTTCTAGAGGTTCTCTAGGATCAATTCTCTGCTTAGAGTGGAAACAAGCAAGCAAGCAAGTGACTCTGACCTTGTTGCTTGCCTAAGTATCTACTTCTGGTTACCGTTGCTAAGCAACGGTCTTTTACCTTTCGCTACTTCGGCACAATTCCCCGCCGACTGCATCTTTGACTCCCGCCTGCTTCTCCACAACACTACACGCTACTGTACTTTGTCTTACTTTTATATTGTTTCTTCTATCTTCTATTCCTACGATTAAAAGCATGACACATCCCCGACGTCCCTCGTGGCCTGGCGATCAGGCGTCTCCTGAATGTCTTCAACCTCGCCCTTACCCTCACTTCGTAATCCACAGTTAGGTTCTGCGAATGCCAATTCAGAGTCTGAGTGGGACTCAGCGTTCCTGCCGCTGCTTGGTAGTTTCAACCCCGCTACAGTCACATCTGTCAGCGTCACCCATTGCCCTTGGCAGTGCGGGGAGAGCTCATTGCGCTTCCACGCGCATCTGTGTCTCGCGCTCGCTTCGCATCCGCGGACGTCACGAGGTCCCAGAACACCCCCTACAGCTTCGGATCCAGCGCCTCCGCCAGCCGGCTGCGCGCAGCCCTCCCGCGCAATGCTCGCTCGCGCTCCCGCGCATGCTCCGCCCGCGCCTCGGCCCAGACTACACGGAACAGGCGGTAGGCGTAGACGAGAAGCATGGACGCGACGAGCACGCCGAAGGCGAGGAGAATCCCGATGTCCTTGGCCACTAGGAATGGGGCAACGGCTGGCTATGGCTTGGCAGGGCATGGCTTATAAGGGCATCTGGAATGCGGAGGGTCACCGTAGGGCGACGACAGATTAGGGTATCACGGGGATGGGTACGATTAAGGCTTGGGCGTGGCTTGGAAAATAGGCGGCGCGGCGAATCATGCGTGCGGCTGCGAGATCTATGTCGTACGATCAGAGCGATCATTGGGCCGATGTGAGATTGGGGCTGCGGGAAAAATGGCGCTGGTGGAAAAGAGATCAGGGTGTGGCGCGGATGCGAGAGCAGCACCCTATCCGGTAACACGGTCGGCGAAACCTAATGCGCCCGTGGTTGCTGGAAGGACAACCTGCGTTGCGCCTTTTCCGCAAATAGAAATCTATGGTCCACGCCCTTTGACTTGACCACTGACTGGAAAGGAGCAGGAGTGGAAGGACGAGACGGGGATGCGACTGGGACTCATAATATTTCTGCGACGAGTCATAGAAGACCACCGTGTTTGTAGCAATTGCCGGCAAGCGTGTGCGAATGGGGGAACCTAATCGACCAGCAACATAGCTCTAGACGTGGGGATATAGCAGGGCGGACCAAGCCTGTTTGTATGTGAGTTGTGTGCCTAGTCAGAGTGATTATTTGGGCGTGAACTTCTGGCGGAATAAGTCTAGTATGCTTGACAATTAGTACAAGATGGTTTTCAAGTTCACTTCAAGTGAACAGTGCTGCCTTGCCAGCTGATCCTCCGCTCGATATGACTTTGAGTGTCGCTGTCCAATCACAAATCACCTTAGTGCGAGAATGGTCAATTTCGGGTGGTAACATGGTTTTTGGCGAATTCATATTCAGGAATCTTGAACTTGAAAATAGCCATGTAGAACTCGGGCTTTAAACTACCCATTCATCACTACCACCCATGCTATTTTGGTCTCTCGTCAGAGCGCCGCTCTTGTCATCGTTGCCTCACCACTTCTCCGCTCTTCAACGAACCATTGTGCTCTTCACCACTCTTCACCGCTTGACCTCCCTAATGGGCAGCTCCTTGGCGCCCAGAGTGGCATCGGCGAGCGAGTGGAAGCAGAGGTACGGCGAGACCAGGTCGTTGCACTGGAGAAGAGGAAGGGGGATGGGGTGACAGGGGGTGGTGGTTGAGAGGGGGAAAGGGAAATACAGACGGGAGCACATCAAGTTTAGAAGGGGCATCTGCAAGAGAGTGGAAGCAGAGGTACGGCGACACCAGGTCGTTGCACTGGGGGAAGAGGGATTGCAGGGTGGAAGTGGGGTATAAGAGGAAGAGAAAAAGAGAAGTGAGTGAGAGGATGGAATAAGCGAGCGGGTGGGAGCAGAGGTACGGCGACACCAGGAAGAGGGGCAAAGGCAGGTGTAGGTGCAGAATGAGGAGGATAGGTAAAAGGCTCACCAAAAGCAGCGGGGAGGGCAGGTGGAGGTGCGAGATGAGGAGAGTGTCAACATGGTGCATGCGGGCGAGCGGTAGCGGTGCCACCACGTGTGCCACTCCCCTGCTGGCGTCCACACCCCTCACCACGCCTGGTGAAGGGGATGATGGGGTGTGTCACAAAGACAGTGTTAGGCACACCACATGGTGAGAGAGACGGAGTGTAGTTGTAAGAAAGAGACAAATCCAGCACAAGGAGAGTGCATGTGATGGCAGTAAGGGCGGTGAAGAGTGTGTGAGGACAGAGTGGACAATAACGAATGAGAGGCAGGGCAGGAGCGCGGCTTCCTGGGGGTCGCAAACCACATGCGGGAAGCCTGCTGCTGCCCCTGCTGCTGCCCCTGCTGCTGCCCCTGCTGCTGCCCCTGCTGCTGCTCCTGATTCTGCTCCTGATTCTGCTCCTGGCACTGCTGCTGTGATATTTCCTGCTTCTGCGGCTGGGTCTGTTTCTATGTTCATATCTGCTGCTGATGCGTCATTTTTTGCTGCTGCTGATGTTGTTTCCGGCAGAGCTGCTGGCGGCACCGCTGCTGTTGGAGTAGCGGCATGAGCAGAGGAAGAGGGGTCAGTGGGCAGGGAGGGCGGAGGAGGAAGGGAAGGCAAGGGGGGAGGGGAGGAGGAGCAGAGGCCGACGATAGTGGCGTTGAGGGCGATGAGCGTGTTGGCAGGGGACAGCTGCAAGGGGGAAACAGTGCGAGGAGGAAGAGTGGGAGAGAGAGAAAAAATGAGGAGGGGAATGGGAAGATAAGTGTGCCACCGGGGAACAGCTGCAGGGAAGATGCCGCGAGGGGGGCGGGGGGGAGGGGGGGGTGGAGGAGGGTGGATTGGGAAGGAAGGACAGGAATGAGGCGTTGAGGGTGGTGAGGCATGTAGCTCGGGGGACGGCTGCAGGGAGGAGCAAACGGGGGGGGCGGGGGACAGGTTGATGAAGGGGGGTGGGAGGGGGTAAGTGGGAGGAAATGGGGCGTTGTGGGGGGTGAGCAAAGGGAGCGATGGGGCGGTGGACAATAGCAGCTGACGACAGTTGATGAGCTGTGCACACCAAAGCTTGCCGCACCTCACCCCAAGCCCCCCACACCTCCTAATGCACTCATCTCACCTCCCATCTACCCCTCACTCACCGCGCCTTGCACTCAGCTCAGCCCACGTGCAGCTCCCCAAGCTGCAAGGGTCCCGCCACACCAACAGGTGTGCATATCGAACCACCACGCAATGATATGATTCAACGGCAAGCTGTGGTTGAATGCTACCGAGCCCACAACTGAAAAGTGATGAGCTGTAGTAGCTGTTATACCCATCTGCCCCTGCTCTCACCTCGCCATGCGTGCAGCCAACGTGCAGCTCCCCCAGGTGCACCTCAAAGGGGCGCCTCAAGAGCAACCTCTCCTCCTCACCTTCCTCATCCCCTTTGTTGTATGCACGTCAGTAAGAGTGCATGTCATCCTAACTTCCTGCTGTGTGCTCTTTCAATTCATGCTTGCGTCATTTGCATTAGCATAAATTATTATGCATGGTTGTTGGATTTTATCACCTCTGTGTTTATCTTCAAGTCCAAATGCTTGATCGCGCAGGAGAAATCCAGAGCTTTCCAACGATACCGACCAAGATCGTCCAAGTTACAAGATTTACAAGATTTGAGAATTATATCTTAATTTGGGATATTAACTAAAATGAGCAGTTATTGGGTCATGACTTCAAAACGATTTTTAGTTGGATGGTTAGGAAGACAATTTTGACTGATGGATTGGGGTGGCTAGAAGTTTTTAGAATGGGTTGCAAATGTTGCAACACTTAGGCAAAATCCAATTGGATTAGATTATGCATGTGGCACCTCAAGGACCTCATCATGAGGGTTGCACATTTGATGCTAGGAAGGTTCCCACCATCCTTCCAAAGCATTTGGAGAACCTTTCCTCACAAGGTTCTCTTGAAACCCCCAACTCCCGTCACTGTATGCTAATATTTGTTCTTCCTCCATCAATTCTAGTAAAAGCAACAAGTATACATTGTCAATTGGTTCTCACTCCCTATACCACATTTTGACATGATTCAACTTCGAGGTGGTAGCTAGGACTAGCGCTTGCAATCCTACCGAGCGGATTTGCGTTTAGTTGAGAAATGAATTCGTCGTAAGTCTTCAAGATGACGGATCTTGAGCAACACCCTCCTCACCTCACCCCATTCTCCCCTCACCTCCCCATGTGCGCAGCCCACGTGCCGATCCCCCAGTTCCACCTCGAAGGGCGCCCGCCACGCCAGCATGCGCGCACAGCGAGCCATCTCCCAACGCTCGTCAAACGGGAACAGGAAGATGGGTGCAGGGAGGGCAGGCGAAGGGCGTGCGGGCGAGGGGTGTGCGGGAGGGCAGGAAGCAGGGAGAACGGCGGAGGAAGAGGGAAGGGTGGTGGAAGAGGGGGCGGTGGCGGTGGGTGGGGCGGGGTGGGGGGGAATGTGGCGGGCGAGCTTGTAGAGGACGAGGCGGCGGGCGGGGGAGAGGGCATGGCGGATGGCTGCTAGCACGCGCAGGCTGCGATGCTCGTGTGCCACCCGGTAGGAGTTGCTGGGGGGGAGGTGTGCGAGGGAGTCGATGGGAGTAAGGGGAAGGTGGGAGGGAGCATGTGGGTGGGCTTTGTGATGTCCCAAAAAGCGGATGGCCACTGGCACCTGCAGGCTGCAATGCTCATGCGCCACCCGTAGGAGTTGCTGGGGGAACGTATATGGGGAGAGGAAGGCGGAACGTATGGGGGGAGAGGAAAGGGGAACGTATGGGGGGAGAGGAAGGGGGAACGTATTGGGGGAGAGGAAGGGGAACAATAACGTGGAAGGTATGGGGGGGGAATAACAGTGAGGGTATGTGGGGGGAGGAAGGGAGAGGGCATGGGAGATGAGACTAAGGGGGAAGAGGGCGGGCCATCGGCATGAGCATCGGCGGGAAGGGAGAGGGCAAGGCGGATGGCTGCTAGCACTCACAGGCTGTGATGCTCGTGGGCCACTCGGTAGGAGTTGCAGTGGTATGGGGGAGAAGGCGGAGGGCGGAGGGGGAGAGGGAATGGGATTGGGAGGGGGAGGGGAGGGGAGGGAGAGAGGGAGGGGTAGGGGGCCGGGCACAGAGGGAGAGGGGGTCGGGCATGGGGAAGAGGACGGGGAAGGGGAAGAGAGGATGAGGAGGGATATGACATCGGAGCCGCCTCAAACCTGCCCTCCCAGCTCATCTCCCATCATCTCACCCCTCGTCCGCCGCTCACCTCACACCAGGGCCAGCACGCGCAGACAGTGATGTGATTGTGATCAGAGACACGTGCGCACTGCTGCTACTGCCCCTGCTGCCGTTGCTGCCCTCTTATCTCACCTTCCATTCCCCACCCCCTCCTCCCCACTCACCTCACGCCAGGACCATGTGATTGTGATGAATGAAGTGCGCACTGCTGCTACTGCTGCGCCTGCCACCCCCTGCGCTGCTCCTGCTGCTGCGTCCACTCCCTCTCCTCCTCCCCCGTCTTGTCCTCCTCCTCCCTCACAAACCCCTCCCTCAGCTTGCCCCCCTCCGCCTCCACCCATCCCCCCACATCCCCCCTCTCTCCCTCCCCATCCCAATCCCCAGCCATCCCCCCGGCGCCCTCCCCGCCGCCCCCCACGCCCCCCAAGGGGGGCATGTTGGGGTTGATATCCTCGGGGCCGAACCCCCCCGGCTGCCAGAAGTGCCCCCCCAGGCAGGTTGTCTACTGCATCGGGTGCTAGCAGAGAGATGACGTGTGTGGGTGAAACGTAGCGAATCAGATCCACCAAAGCGTCATAGCCTATGCCTACAAGAAGGGAGACGGTGACAGGAAGTGAGAAGGGGGGAAAATATTGAGTGGAATACATGGTTTGCACCGCAACCTACCGCCTATTCTCCGACGGTAAAAGAAAATGGGGAGGTTTGTTTGAAGGTAATTTGTGTGCGCATTTTGTTTGTGTTCTGTGCGCATTCGTCCTTGCATTTTGTGCTTTTCGTTTTCATTTGTACCAGAGCTCTGATACCAGAAAAGGGGTTAAGTAGAGAGGAGTGAAGCCAAGGGTTGATATCCTCTGGGGCGAACCCCCTCGCCTGCAGAAGTGCCCTGCACTACTTACTTAACCCGCGTCTCATATTTCCTAGTATATTACGCTTGGTTGGGCTAAAGCGCCTGTGATTGGATAACGATTGGCGAGAACGAGTGACGAGCAGTTTGGAAAGCGTGGACGAACCCTCAGTTCGTCCATGCAAAAGCCAACCGACCCCCTCAGGCATGGAAAGCTTCCACACCTAGAAAATAGCTCCGGCAGAATCGCAATTCCATGCGACGAACTGAAACGACAGGATACATTTCGCCCAGCTTTGTGAGGATCTAGGATCGAGCTCAGAAAAGAGAGTTTGAATTGAATGATTCACCTGGGTACAACACGAGGCTATATATAGTCTCGACACAAGGCCAGTTACCCAGGTGTTCCGCGAATGTTCTGAGGGTCGCAAAGCGTCCCGAACAGAACCTTCCCGAACTCAGTAGAAAGCAATTCGGTGGAAACCGAATAGGCTTGAGTTCGGTACACGTAACCTGGTTCGGTGCTATAACTATAATAAAATATAGGAATGCATCTAACCTAGGAAATCAAGCATATCTATGCATGATAAATAAAACCCAAGCTAGATATAGCATAATAAAGTCTAGGCAAGCTAGCAAAGCCAGCATAAGCCGTCGTACTCTCACAAGCTTCACACGAAAAGGCTGAGCAAAACTCTCATCCGTGAATCTTATTACCAACGCTTAGTATGGTTGCTCGTTATGTCTCTCCACGAGCAAGATGGAGCTCCTGCACAAAATCTACTAATATAGCACCCTATTAGATCGAATTCCGGACCTCGTAACATGTGACCACCGAATACATTTAGAAGCGGATAACGCTCTAATTGGCGAGGGCAGAATCGTCCAATGTCGTGCACCCATCGCAACGCGACCACATTTTACGATGTAGCCAGTTTGTAGCATCCCGAACTGCGTTCTTACCTTTTATATGGTCAGCTGCGGAGCCCTGACCTGGGATGGCGCAAATCATAATGCGCACGAGCCCGTGTCAAGTGCGAGACGCATGTGTGCGGGGTCAATTTCCCCATGCGTGCGCAAGTGCGTGCGTGCGTGCGCGCGCGTCCGTGTGCACGTGCGTGTGTGCGTGCGCGTGCGGCGCGTGCGTGCGTGCTGGTAGTGCGTGTGTGCGCGTGCAGGTCGTGCGTGCGTGCGTGCGTGCGCGTGCCTGCGTGCGTGCGCGTGTGCACCTGTATGTATTCCTGTGCGTGAGTGCATGTGAATAGGAATTCTTTCGCTCATTTTGGCACACGTCCCTCAGCCTTCCCATCACGGTGTTCTCACCTCCCTTTCCACAAACTGCGACGAGTGCCTCGAGACACGACACACTGCTCTCTTAGGGTTACACCTGACACCTCCCATTCCCTCTATCCCCTCCCCTTCCTTCTCTCCCCTTCCCCCTCTCCCCTTCCCTCTCTCCCTCCCCCTCCCTCTCTCCCCGTCCCTCTCTCCCTCCCCCCTCGCTCTCACCCCTTCCCTCTCTCCCTCCCTCCTCCCTCTCTCCCCTTCCCTCCCTCCCTCCCCCCCTCCCTCTCTCCCCTTCCCTCCCTCCCTCCCCCCTCCCTCTCTCCCCTTCCCTCTCTCCTTCTCCCGCCCGCAGCTGTTCTCATATCAACCCATCCACGCCATGAGCAGCTCGCTCCTCTCCCACCCCTACACCAACCCATTCCCCTCCCCAGCTACCGCACTTGCTGACGTCAACTCGGGTGCTCGTACTCCTCCCACTTCTCCCACCTCCCTCTCTTTGGACTCCCCACCCACCTGCTCTCCCACCCTCCAGCACCCGCCACCCCTCTTTCGCCTCCTTCGTGATCCGGCTGGAAACATTCCTGGGAACCTTCTCCATGTTCCTCCCTTGTGCTTTGATAGCACCCCCTCCCCTTTCCCCTTCTCTCCCTGTGAACTCACCTTCTGCGGAGATAACTGCTGCAACGGGAGCTAGACTACGGGCTAGGCACGGGTGCTCGTGTGATCTCTACGTTCATTAGTCGTTTGCTTGTGTGTTCCCTGCTTGCACATTCACGGGGAGAGTTTGCAAGAGTTTCACTAGCAAAGATTGACAACAATGATGGCAACAACATTGACAACACAGACTACATCAGAGCTAGCTAGGCTGCTGGTCGACCTCCAGCGCAGCATGGTCGACCGCGCTCCAGCGCAGCAGCGCTCGCACCACTCCAGCGTTGCAGAGTAGCGGTTTGCCAACGTTGCAAGTCCACGATGTGCCAACGCTGCAGCAAGTCGGCTGCACAGCGTTGCACCCGCAGGACAACGGTGCACCTGCTTCGCAGGTGTGCGCAGCTGGTTGGCGCTCCACACCTCGTCACGAGCACAGCGCAGATGCCTGGCAGACTCCACGCCAGCGACTGCGCCCACCAGCCATGGCGACCTCGGGATACCACCCCCGAGGTCGGCCTCGCAGACTCCACCCCGGCGACACTCGCGCACGTCGCCCGGGTATCCCGGTCGACCGGGCAACCACGCCCAGGTCGGTGTTCGGCCTCCCAGGACACCGTGCAGGCGCCCACGACGTCGACCAGGCGCCCGGGGAGTCGTACCGACGCCCAGGTCGGCGTCCAGCTTCCCAGGACGCCATCCAGGCGTCCAGGACGGCGTCCTCCTGCTCGGTGCCCCCCAGCCAGGCGCCTTCTAGCTCGGCGCCCATGCAGTGGCCCCCGTGCCCACTGCCGTAGGTCGGCTGCATCCCAGGCACATCCGACCACAAGGTCGGCTCCGCCCAAGCGAGGACGGGGCCATACAACACTCCCGTTAACACTCCCCTGCCGCGTTCACGCTTGGGCTTCCCCAGCCCACACGGCAGCACTGCTCGGAGAAAAGCTCAGCGGCGTGCACACAACACACAGCACGCCGGTCATCGCACCAGCCATGCAAGAGGGCATGGCACCTACTGCTACACATCGTCGTCGCCGTCGCCCACGTCGGCCAGGCGCACCTGGCCGATTGCGACGGAGCACCGGTTGAAGGCCGGATAGTGCAGCGCCTTCGTCAGGAAGTCGGTCGGCTGCTCGGTTGTCGGGATGTACTGCAGCGAGAACTTCCCGCGCTTCACCATGTGCTGCAGCCAGGCCTGTCGCCGCTCCATGTGCTTGAGGTTGCCCGTCAACCCCATGCCCTCGGCGACCGTGATGGCCGACTTGTTGTCCACTCGCAGGATAGTCGGCTTCCCGGCGTCCAGCTGCCGGAACTCTGCGAGGAGGAAGCGAAGTCGGCGTCCCTCCTTGCCGGCTTCGGTGGCCGCCACGTACTCCGATTCGGTCGATGACAGCGTCGCGCACTTGATGCGCTGGCTTGACCAGGAGACTGCGGCCCCTCCATAAACGAACACGTAGCCACCCGTGCTCGTCCTGTTCTGCTTGTCACCGGCGTCGTCGGCGTCCACGTAGCTGACCAGCTCCAGCGACTCAGGTCCACCGCCGAACTCCAGGGCGGTGTCAGGCGTGTTGGCGAGGTAGGCGAGGCAGCGGTCGACCTCGCGCCAATGCTGGTCACTCCTCACCGTGAGGCCGCTCCCCAGCTTGCTGCAGGCGAAGGCGATGTCCGGCCTCGTCGTCGTCGCCGCGAACTGCAGCGAGCCGACCTTCTGCCGGTACTCCTCCTCCTGGCGTTCCTGCGCCTCCTTGTCATCGAAGGTGAGCTCGGCGTAGGCGTCGACCGAGACAGGCGTCTTCAGAGTGCGCCCGGTCTGCTCCTCGTCGATGAAGCGCCTACGCAGCTTGTCGGCGTAGCCCTGCTGGTGCAGCCACAGCTTCCCTGCGGACCTGTCGCGAACGATCTCCAGCCCGAGGTACTTCTGCACCGGCGAGATCTCACGCAGCTCTAAGGCGGCTTCCAGCAGCGCCTTCAGCTCCTTCAACATCGCGGCGCTGCTGCTGGCAGCGAGCAGGTCGTCGACGTAGACCAGCACCCAGCAGGCCACTCCGTCATTGCCGACCTTGAAGTACAGAGCCTCGTCGACCTGGCTCTTCTTCCACCCGGCGCTGACCAGCACATCGTTGAGTGCCAAGTACCACAGCAGCGGCGACTTCTTCAGCCCATAAAGGCTCTTCAGCAGCTTGCACACCCGGCCGGTTCCGTTGTTGAAGTGGTCAGGCTGGGACATGTAGAGCACCCGGTCGAGCTTGCTCTGCAGGAAAGCGTTCTTTATGTCGAGATGGATCAGGTTGAGGTTGAGGACGGCGACGATGCTGAGGAAGATCCTCAGTGTGACGTAGCTGCCCACTGGCGCGAACGTCTCGTCGTAGTCGGCGCCGTACACCTGCGTGAAGCCCTTCATGACTAGCCTCGCCTTCTCTCGCTCGACGGTGTCGTCGATGTGGTACTTCGTCGTCAACACCCACCGGTTCATCATGATGTTCACTCCCGGCGGGCTTTCGACCAGCTCCCACGTGCCCATGTTGATGAGGCTGCGGATCTCTTCTTCCATGGTGGCCTTCACCGCCGGGCCCTTCCAGCTTGCCAACGCCTCCTTCACCATCATCGTCAAGATGTCCCAACGGTGCTCGGGGTCGGCCAGCATGTCAGGGTCGAGCTCCGGAAACTCCTCATCCTCCTCGGCGTCGTCGTACAGCAGGTCGTCGTCGTCATCGTCCACATCGTACACCGTGGTGAAGGCAGCGGAGACGAAGAAGTCAGGCGGCCTCCGGAGTCGGCCGGTATGCCGTGGTCCCGGCTGGACCTCCTCGGCGTCCCCTCCACCTCCTCACCAGCAAGCGCATTGACCTCGGCGAGCAGAGGCAGCGTCGCCGTCGAGGTGTCCGTAGGCGGGTGAACCGGCATCCGCCCTGACACCGGCCCGTGCCCCGACTTCGACACCTACAACGACATGCTCTCGTAGAACACCACGTCCGACGTGGTGACCACCCGGTTGTCGGCGATGTCGAGGAGCTCCCAGCCCTTGCTCTCCTCCGACACGCCGAGGTGAAGGCCCCACCGGGCCTTCGGCTGCAGCTTCCCACCATGCTGCTGCTCGGGGACCAAGAACTGCGCCATGCAGTCCCACACCCTTGCCAGCGACAAGACGGGCTTCTTCCCGGTCAGCAGCTTGTACGGCGTTGTCCTCGACGGCAGCGCCGACCTCTCAAGGCATTTGCGGAGCCAGACGGCCTGCCGGAGAGCGAGGTGCCACCAGTGGTGCTGCACGCCCATGTGCAGCAGCATCGTCCGCACCGACTCCACCACCGTCCTCATCTCCCGCTCCGCCATGCCGTTCTGCTGCGGGGTGTACGGGCAGGTCAGGTCGTGGGAGATCCCCTTGCCGTTCACGAAGTCGATGAACTGCTTCCCGAGGAACTCCCCTCCCCGGTCAGAGCGCATCATCAACACCGACCGCTTCGTCTGCCTCTCAGCCGCCGCCAGCCACTGCACGAACTCCCACAACGCATCTGACTTCTTGGCGACCGGCCTCACCCACACGTAGCGGGTCTTGCGGTCCTTCAGCAGCAAGAAGTACAGGCTGCCATCCTTGGCAGCCACGCGGAATGGCCCGCACAGGTCGATGTGCACAACGGCCAGCACGTCGTCGGCGTCGGAGCCTTTGTCGGGGAAGGTGTGCCTCGTCAGCTTCCCGCCGATGCACGAGACACACGGCAAGTCGGCGCCCGACGCCGAGGTGAGGTCCAGCCCAGTGGCAACCTCGTGCTTCGCCGAGGTCCGTATGGTGTCCATGCCGACGTGCGCGAGCCTCGCATGCATCCTGCCCGACGTTGCCTTCGTCGCCAAGACGATCGCCCGCAGGGCCACTACCTCCGTGGTGGGCGTCGTCTGCATGGCCGAGCAGGGATGCAGGTCGGTGCAGAGAACACGCCCGGTGTACGTTGCCCGACCGAGCACCTCTCCCGCCGCTGAGACGAGCAGCATCTCGTCGCCGTCCTCCGTCAACTTCACGCCGTGCTCCTTCAGCTGGCCAGCCGAAAGCAGGTTCGCCCGCACGCCCGGGACGTAGAGCACGTCGGGGATGAGCACTTGCTTCCTGGCCTCCCCTTGCAGAGCGACAGTGCCGCATCCCTGAACGTCCTGCAGCGCCCCATTGAAGCCGCGCACGTGCTTCACGTCGCCGCTCGGCTGCAGGTCGACGAAGGCCTCCTTCGTCCCCATCAGGTGGTGCGAGCAACCGCTGTCGAGCAGGACCACCGTCGGGTTCGCCTGCACAGCTGCCGCCACCGCCAGGATGTCCTCACCGGCCTCCGGCGCCAGTGAGACGGTCGGCTCCACGACGCCGACCAGCGAGCACGACGCCACCTTGTCGTCTCACCCCTTGCCGCCAGCAGAGGAGTCGGCGTCCTTCGCCGAGGTCGACTTGTTCGACTACTTCTCCTTGCGCGGCTGGTTTCCTCGACGTGGACGACGGCTGGCCGACCTCCCGCGGCCTCCCTTGGCGTCGTCGTCGTCGGTATCGCTGCGGTCGGGGCACTCAAAGGAGAGATGGTCGGGGCTGTGGCAGATCCAGCACTCCCGACGCCGACTTCCTCCTCCTCGACCGCCACCCGTGGCCGACTTCTGCTTTTCGGCGTCCTTCGCCGGCTTCCACCCGCTGCTACCACCACCGCCGGGCTGCCCACGCTGCCCCGGTCGGCCACCATGCTTCGTCGGGGCGACGAAGTTGGCCTGCGCCAATAGCTCCTGGGACCGCTCAGCTTCATGCATCGCCTCGTCCTGCACGATGTACAAGGTCAAATTGTCCTCGTTGAGCGTCGTCCTCGTGTTCGGCGCCATGGACAGCCGCTTCAGGAGGTTGTAGCTGCTCGAGAGCCCATGCATGACGTGGGTGACGTACGACGCCGTCGAGTACTGCGCGCCGGCCATCCTGATGGTGGCGAGAATTCGCCGGGCCCGGTTGCAGTAGTCGGTCGCCGTCTCCTCGTCGCCCATACGCAGGTGCGTCAGCTGCCCCTCCAGCTGGGCGATGAACAAGTCGTCGGTGACTTGGTAGGTCGACTCGATGAAGTGCCACGCCCGGTGGCCGGCGTCGAGGTACTCCCGGCACCACTTCAAGGCGATCTGCACGCCTGGCGAGCAGCACCGCGAGATGACCATGAAGGTCAACAGCTGCACGGCGCGAAACTCCACTCGCAAGTCGGCGTGATGCTCCTCTGGCGTCGCTACGGTCCCTCGGGCGAAGCCGATCAGCCCGGCCATCTCCAGCTGGGGCTCGATGGCTTCGTTCCAGGTGAGTATGTCCTGTCGACCAACGAGCGGCGGGGTGACCAAGATCCTGTCCGGCGAAAACTTGAAGTAGCCGTAGCTTGGTGCAATCCCACCCGCTGTCACCTGGGTCGCCGACATCGGCGACATTCCGCTTCGACGCCCACCGGCGTCGCCCTGCAAGGAGCCCGCAGCCGCCGACGACTGCATCCCTCGCGCCTGAACGCCGCCGGCTTCACCGGCGTGTATCACACCTCGTTGCCTCTACGTGCCTCCCGCACTGCTGCCGACCTGGCCTCCACCGGCGTGGACGCCCACGTCGACGCCGCCGTCGTTGTTCACCGGTCGAGGAGAGGCAGGCCGAGAAGGGGGGTGCTCCGCCGCCCACACGGAGCGGAGTCCTGCCTCGACGACTGCCTAGGGTATCGCCCCGTACTCCTGGGCCTCATGGCGTCTCCTCGCATCCTCTAGCTGTGCCTCCAGGGTGTCCATCACCTCGGCGTCACCTACGCGCACGCTAGTGACTGCACGGCTGCCAGCCTGCGAACACGATCGGTAAGTGCAAAGTCGGCTAGACTGAACTTCGTCACGGTGTCATCCACGCTCACCGCACCATGCGGAGATAACTCCTGCAACGGGAGCTAGACTATGGGCTAGGCACGGGTGCTCGTGTGATCTCTGCGTTCCTTAGTCGTTTGCTTGTGTGTTCCCTGCTTGCACATTCACGGGGAGAGTTTGCAAGAGTTTCACTAGCAAAGATTGACAACAATGATGGCAACAGCATTGACAACACAGACTACATCAGAGCTAGCTAGGCTGCTGGTCGACCTCCAGCGCAGCATGGTCGACACCGCTCCAGCGCAGCAGCGCCCGCACCGCTCCAGCGTTGCAGAGTAGCGGTTCGCCAACGTTGCAAGTCCACGGTGTGCCAACGCTGCAGCAAGTCGGCTGCACAGCGTTGCACCCGCAGGACAACGGTGCACCTGCTTCGCAGGTGCGCGCAGCTGGTTGGCGCTCCACACCTTGTCACGAGCACAGCGCAGACGCTTGGCAGACTCCACGCCAGTGACTGCGCCCACCAACCACGGCGACCTCGGGATACCACCCCCGAGGTCGGCCTCGCAGACTCCACCCCGGCGACACTCGCGCACGTCGCCCGGGTATCCCGGTCGACCGGGCAACCACGCCTGGTCGACCAGCGCAGTTCGTAGCCGGCCACCCATGCCCTGCGTCCCCAGTCCAGCATCCAGGCGTCCAGGACGCCGTCCGGACACCCAGGTCGGCGTCCAGGCGCCCAGCACGCCGTGCAGACCTCCAGAGCGGCGTCCAGCCTCCCAGGACTCCGACCAGACGCCCAGGTCGGCGTTCGGCCTCTCAGGACACCGTGCAGGCGCCCACGACGTCGACCAGGCGCCCGGGAAGTCGTACCGACGCCCAGGTCGGCGTCCAACTTCCCAGGACGCCATCCAGGCGTCCAGGACGGCGTCCTCCTGCTCGGTGCCCCCCAGCCAGGCGCCTTCCAGCTCGGCGCCCTTGTAGTGGCCCCCGTGCCCACTGCCGTAGGTCGGCTGCATCCCCCGCACATCCGACCACAAGGTCGGCTCCGCCCAAGCGAGGACGGGGCCACACAACACTCCCGTTGACACCTTCACCTCCTCCCACACCAACATTCCACATGTCGGCAGTAAGGGTTGCTTGCCAGCCAGCCCTCGGCACGCACTGACCCTGCTAGCTGTCCTGACCGAAGCTGAGGTGGGAGTACGCAGGGGAAGGTGAGGCGGGTGTGGGTGTGGGCTATGGTGAGAGAGGGGGGGGGGGAGTGGGAGGGGGAGGTGGGGAGGTTGAGTGCTGTGGTGGACGATAATGTGTGTGGAGAGCCCTTTCCTTCTCCGCCAACCCTTTCCTTATCGCGGGGGTTCACCCCATCTCCTCATCCCACCTCCCCATCTCCTCATCCCACCTCCCAATCTCCTCATCCCACCTCCTCGTCTCCACATCCCACCTCCCCGTCTCCACATCCCACCTCCCCATCTCCACATCCCACCTCCCCGTCTCCTCATCCCACCTCCCCGTCTCCTCATCCCACCTCCCCGTCTCCACATCCCACCTCCCCATATCCTCATCCCACCTCCCCATCTCCTTATTCCACCTCCCCATCTCCTCATCCCACCTCCCCGTATCCTCATCCCACCTCCCCATCTCCTCATCCCACCTCCCCATCTCCTCATCCCACCTCCCCGTCTCCTCATCCCGCCTCCCCGTCTCCTCATCCCACCTCCCCGTCTCCACATCCCACCTCCCCGTATCCTCATCCCACCTCCCCATCTCCTCAGTCCACCTCCCCATCTCCTCATCCCACCTCCCCGTATCCTCATCCCACCTCCCCGTCTCCTCATCCCGCCTCCCCGTCTCATCATCCCACCTCCCCGTCTCCACATCCCACCTCCCCGTATCCACATCCCACCTCCCCGTATCCTCATCCCACCTCCCCATCTCCTCATCCCACCTCCCCGTATCCTCATCCCACCTCCCCATCTCCTCATCCCACCTCCCCATCTCCTCTTCCCACCTCCCCATCTCCTCATCCCACCTCCCCGTCTCCTCATCCCACCTCCCCGTATCATCATCCCACCTCCCCATCTCCTCATCCCACCTCCCCATCTTCTCATCCCACCTCCCCCTCTCCTCATCCCCTCTTCCCTTCTCGATGTTCCAGGTTCCCATGATAGCTGCCTCCCTCCTCATCTCGCCCACATCATTTCCTCTCTTCCTCGGTGTGCATTATAATTATCGGTCATACCTCCTCATCTCATCTCCCCTTCTTGCCTCCTACCACCTTTCCCTGCCATCCCATCCCTCCTTCATGCCTCCCGTCACGTTTCTCTGCCTTCCCATCTCCCCTCCCCTTCATGACTCCAGTCACCCACCCACCCATCCGTCCCCTGTAAACATTTTCTCCCCTCGTTTCCACCCCCATCCGTCCCCTTCTATCCTCTTTTCCCCTCGTTTCCACCCCCATCCGTCCCCTTCTATCCTCTTTTCCCCTCGTTTCCACCCCCATCCATCCCCTTCTATCCTCTTTTCCCCTCGTTTCCACCCCCATCCGTCCCCTTCGCCGCACTTTTACCCTCGTTTCCACCCCCATCCGTCCCCTATTTACCTCTTTTCCCCTCGTTTCCACTCCCCTTCCTCTCAGCAGCTCGCTCCTATCCCACCCCTACACCAACCCATTCCTCACCCCTGCTGCCGCACACGCTGACATCACCTTGGATGCTCATACTTCTCCCACTTCTCCTACACCTCCTCTCTTCGGACTCCCACCCTCCAGCTCTCTCACCCTGCTAGCCTTCCTGCTCGAAGCTGAGGAGTATTTTAGCAGGGGAAGGGATGGAGGGTGTGGGTGTGGGCAATGGCGACTGCCAGAACCAGAGAGAGGGGTGAGGGAGTGGGAGGGGGAGGTGGGGAGGTTGAGTGCTGCGGCCATGAGTGGGGGAAGCCCTTTCCTTCCCCATCATCCCTCCATTCTCCATGAGTGTGGATTACTATGCTGTCTCATTTCCAGTCCCTTCCCTTCACATCCCCAGCCCATTCTTCTGATCTGCCCTCTCTTCCGTCCCATCCGCACTAAGCACCCTTTTTCCTCTCAACTGTGCTTCCACCCCTTCCCTCCTCCCAACCCCCACCTCACTCGTCCCGTTCCCCCCCTCATTTCTCGCTGCTCGGTCTGCATTGCATGTGGCATCTTTATCTTCCCTCTCCACGGTCTGCCAATTCAGCCAGGCCACGTGTATCTTGGTCAGAGCCGCGTGTCTTGCAGTCACTGGCATCGCATGCTTCGCATGCCAGCATGTCAATGTCGCATGCTTCATATGCCAGCATGTCAATGTTGCACGCTTCACTGGCATCGCATGCTTCACTTACCATCACAACCCACCCTCGCTGCTTGGAGACTGTCCTCACCCACCCCCACCTCTTCCCTCTTCTCCCCCCTTCCCCCAACCTCCTCTCTGCCCGCCGTCCCGCGTCCTCCTCCCCCCACCACCTGTGTGCCACGCTGGGCGTGATCTTGTTTGCCACTAACGCTGTCTCCATGCTGCAGGTATTTTGGTGGAACAGAGTGCGGGGTTGGTGGGGTTGGGGGGAGAGTCAGGGGACAGTGGGGTAGGAAGAGGTCTTGAGGGTGTCCACCCATACACTCACCCTTACACCCCAGATGATGGAGGGTAAGGTTGCCCAACCTAGAGATGGGCAAGGGAGAGTGTAAGGGAGGGTGTGTGGGGGAGGGTAAGGTTGCCCAACCTAGAGATGGGCAAGGGAGAGTGTAAGGGTGGGTGTGTGGGGGAGGGCATCAGGTGCCGCCCCCCCTTCCCTCTCTCCCCTCTCCTACCCTCTATCCTCTCGATTTCTCCCCGTCCCCCCTTTTTACCACCTTTCTCTTCCTTCACATCGCAACGGCCTATCTTCTTGCCTCTGCACCCATCTTTCCCCCTCTCTCTACACTCGTTTCCCTCTTCCCCCCTCCCCCGCGCTCTTCTCTCTCTTAACCCTCTCGCCCTTCCCCCTTCCTGTCCCCTCCCACCAGGTGTTTGAGATGGTGGTTCGCGTCAAGCGTGCACTGCACAAGCTCTTGTCATGCCTCCAAGCCCTCCTCCGCGCCCTCCGCCGCTCCAAATGCTCCCGCCTCCACTTCTGCAGTGGGCGCCCACTGGTGCGTGGGCCGTCCCGTGCATCATGTGGTGGCTCACGCGCCACCGACTGCCTGCTGCTGACGAGTGCGTGCTTTGGGTGTGTACATGGGGACGGGGTGGGAGTGGGGGGGAAGTTGGTTGAGAAAATACATCGGAGTGGGTTGGGAGTGGGTTGGGAGAGTATGACAAATGGGCTGAATGATGGAAAGGGATGGGTGGATAGACTATGTCACTTACACTATGCCCGTTACCCTCCCGTAACATCGCTATTCCCCTGCTCTCGTTCTTTACTTCACATCATGTCTCCCTCATCTCGTCCCTACCCATCCTCCCACCCTCTGTCTCTATCTCTCTATCTCTCCCTATCTCTCGATGTTGATCGCTTGCATAGTGCAGTGTTGCTAGGGCAGCATCGCCCTAGCCTATGTTATTGACAAATTTTGAAAGCACCTTCTGTCAGTTGCTAACCCCACACATATGTTTAGTTGTTCATTCATTCTCTTCCTTTGTTCATGCTCGTCTCTCCTTTCCTCCCACTTCACCTCTTACCCCACCCCGCCCCTCTCCCGCCGTCTCTTTCTCCCCACTCCATGTGCTGTTCATCTGGTCCACGGCACCGCTTTCGCAGCAAAAACCATGGAATCTGCTGTGACAAGTGCACGCCGCAGTCCCCATAAACCAATGCTGCTCCCGTGCGACATTCGGGGACGCATGCCTGGCACCCATTCATGAGATGGCATGGCCCAAGCAAACTCGGTGGCGTGAAGGGAATGTGTCACAGCATGATGATGACCGCAATAGTAGATGATGGTGCTGTTCTGTAAAGCCGGTGATGTAGTTATGTGTACATTGTACAAGCAACTCTGAAAGCTCCTAATTCAACCTCAATTCTAGATCAAGTCTACTTTTTGGATGCGTGCAAACATTATGCAACAGAAATGTAGGAACATTCTATTGATGTCAAGAAACCGTGACGGCGTACGCAAGCCTAGACTGAATGAAGCTGCTTTATCTTGTTCCATGGTACACGTAGCCCAACCCATGGAAAGGGAAGGCGGTAAAAGTGGTTCTGGAGACGAAATGGAGAGTGGAAACAGTTGGTAGAGGGGGCGAGGGAGGGTAATCAAGGGGGGAGCGAGCATTTGCAGGGAGGTGAGTGAGTGTAAGGAGTGGTGAGGAAGCATAATCATGGCTGGAAGGCAGGGAAAAAAAGGGTAGATGTAAGCATTTTTCATTCTTACTTGAAATCCCCTTGCGAATCTGATGTGACGCGAAGGGGGAAAAGGAGGGAACGCAGTGGGGGAAAGGAGGGGATGCAGGGCGGGGCAAGGAGGGGATGCAGGGGGGGAAAGGAGGGGAAGCAAGGGGGGAAACGACAAGGGAATGCAGGGGGAGAAAGGAGGGGATGCAGGGGGGGTGATAGTGACGGGGATGCAGGTGGGGAAAGGTGGAGATGCAGGGGGGAATGGAGGGGATGCAGGGGGAGAGAAGCGGGGGTGCAGAGAGGAGAAAGGAGGGGATGCAGGGGGGGAAAGGAGGGGATGCAGGGGGAGAAAGGAGGGGTTGCGTGGGTAATACCCCGAACTGGGAAAGTGGGAACTGACGGAAGGTAGGGAACCCAGTAGGGTGAAGGGGAGAATGAATGTGGAAATTGAGGGCAAGGAGAGGGAAAACAGTCGGCAAATAGGAGGGAAAAATGGAAAACAGAGGGCAATGAGGGGGGAGACATAGGACAAGGAGAGGGTGCGACATGTATAACGAGAGGCAGCAGAGGGGTAAATGAGAGGGATAAGGCGGGGAAATGAGAGGGAGAAGGGGGGGGGGGGGGGGGGGGGGGGAAAGACAATGTGGGAAGTATCCGCTCGGCAACGTACCAGGACACAAATTGATGTAGTCTAAGACCTTAGGTCATGCGCATAGTCTTTGAATCTGAAAACACATTGGGAAACGTATATAGTTTTGATTAGACTATTTGTACTAAGTCTAGAAGGAACACAAAAACAATGCAGCATAGTTGTTCTTACCGAGAGGGTACTCGTCTCGCTCGTTTGAGAGGGCCACGCACATCATCGCGAGCACCACTAACCCCGTCCCGGCTGCGATGCGTCACCTATGGTGGGGAGGGAAAGTAGTGTGTAAACATAGTTCACACAAAGGTGGGCATAAGGTCATAAATAAGAAACGGATTCAATTACAAACACATGATGACAACAAATCACGACACAACACTAACCGAGAGGCAAGTTTCGCCGAGCGTTGCTCGTCCACCCATGGCGCTGTGTATTACGGCGTGTGCGGGCCCTTGAGGCAGGAACGACCACACCACCAGGACTAGTGAACACAAATGTGCTCGAAGAAGGAGTGTCTGGTGAAAAGGGGGAGTTGGTCGGTTGTTCGATCGCTGCTCGTGGTGGCGTAGACGGAACAAGAATGTTTGATGATGTGGCAAGAAACTCACGATCTCCTACATATGGCGTCCCCCCCTCACTAGGCAGGGCGGACGCCCCACCTGTCTCCTCCTCTTCCCCCGACATGGTTTGGGCATCCGTCCCTGTTCCTCCCTCAGCTGCCACCGGAACCATCAGCTCCACACCCTCCTCCGTACCCTCCACCCCCTCTTCTCCTTCCTCATCAGCATTTGTGCTCGGGATCCCCTCCCCGCTCTCACGTAACTTCGACCAACGCTCTAAAACCTCGTCAACCCAACTCCAATCCATTGGCCCGAGCACCCTATCCATCTTTCCCCGTTTCACCCGAGTTGCCTTGCGTACACGAATCCGCCACTCTTTCACAACCCTCTCCACTGTGCTATTCCAATGTAGCACCGTCAAAGCCACTCGGGGCTCCATGCTGCCAAGGAAAGCTATGCGCTTCGGCGCATACTTCGTTATCAAAGAATGAAACGACTCGTTGATCCAATTGCTCGCCCCACGAACATATGGTGCCATTTGACTCGGGCCACAGTGGACCGAAAGGCGTTTTTTGAAAGCAACATGGGTCTCAGAATCTGGTTCGTATAAAGCACTTTCCTCGCCCCAACGCTCCCTAACACATCGTGGTACCACTCCGTCCCGCTCACATCGAGCGTGTAATCCTGCATAATGGTCGGCACACAGCGCCATCTCAGCAGCTACATCCTGCGGCGACATCCCCTGACCAGCACTGACTTTAGTTGCACATCGCACCATCACATGGTGGAAATGAATGCCCAAACACTGAACAACAGACACATACTCTGTGCCCCCATCGTCCTCTCCATCATCGTCACGTGGTCGTTTTCCACTCTTCTTTTCCTGCCACCTTTTGCCAGTCCTCCCCATCGCACTTTCTGGAGCACCATTATGTTGGGAGCCACCCTCCTCTCCCACCTCCGCCACTGCCTCAATGGAGCCCCTCGCATCACCGATCTCATCCACGCCTGGATGGACAAAAACCACACAAGTTAGAGGAGATACACACAAAGTTTACCCAAAAATTTCCATATCGGCGCCTATCTCACTACTTACCACAAGATGCAAATGCGGTATCGATTACGTTATCGGCAAAGAACCCCTCACCCAAAAGCTCCACAGCTGACTCGCGGATGTAATCGGTGCAGATGTTGTCTCGCGGGGCATGGATGGGATGAGGATCAAACTCAAAAAGCGTATCAACATCTGCCCATTTGATCCCGATAATATCAGCCACCTCCTCCGCTTCCCCTCCCCCTCTGGCCCCATCTGGTGTGTCTTCGTGCGTCTCCTCATTTGACACTCCCACTCTGCTCTCTTGTTGCGGCTCCTCGTTCACCACTCCTACTCCACTCCCTTGCTGCGCCTCCTCGGTTAGCACTCCTCCCCCGCTACTCAGCTCCTGCTGTACGTCATCGTCCCCCCCATCATCGGCTGACATCCTCCGACGCTTCACTCGATCTTGTCCCGTTGTCACTCCACCCACCCGCACTTTCAACACCCTCCGCATTTCGCCGAACTTCCATTTGGGGGGACTCTTTGCCTTCTCATCGAACTCAATCGTTCCCAACTTTCTACAAACCGCTTTGATCATGGTTTTTTTCAATGACTTTGCTGTAACACGGTCACCCGTTTTCCTGTTCAAAGGCAACCACTCCCACAACTCCTCGCGCGAAACCGACCACAACTTAGAACAAGTCTTGGCTTGACCCATTTTGATCGCGCCGCGCTGAGCCTCAACAAAGTCTTTTACGAACAACTTGGTAAGAGCACGACACTTGTGCCATGCATTCATCTGATGATGGAGCCCAGTGCCAACTAACGCTCTCCTAAATGACGCCCCATCATCTGAAATGATGCCTGTGAATGTGAACCCAAAATCTCTCAATATCTGCAAACCCTTTTCAAATGCAATCCTCTCCAACACCGTAGATGACTCCCCCTCTGCCTTTTTTGAAACCGTAACACATAACAGGATTTTGCGAGACCGTGGATCCATGAAAGTGAATGTACACCACTGCGCTTCCCTAGACTGTGACCACCGACCATCTACACATATGTACTCTTCCCCCTCTTTTCCGCACAACTGCATGTCTCGTCGGACCCTCGCCATGCACTCCTCGCTATGCACAATGATTGCCTCCCACAATCCATATGGACGTCGCATGTATCGATAAAATGTCTCTCTACCCATATCCTTAATACCGAGTGTTCTGCTAACCTCACTCATCTGTTGAAAGCCAAGTCCCGCCATAACGAACGCTTCCAAGAACCTCGGTAGCAGAAGAGAGGCTTTGGGGCCTTGCTTGTTGGAACACCTAGTGACCTTACCCCTCTTGGTTGACCAGAACTCGGAAATCCTCGAGCACGAATCACAAGCCCATACAACCTCCATGGTTGCCCATTTGACCTTGCACGCACGCAGTACTATCGACCCCCGGCACGAGGCTGCTTGGCAGCATATTACACCCAGGCTAAGGAAGAACTGAAGGAAGTGGATAGGATCAAGTAGGCATACCACTCCCTTGAGTGAGGATGTAGCTGCGTCTGGCGTCAGCTGCCAAGCGCAGCAGAGACCCTTAGAGAGTGTTGAGCCAACCGCCCCTGCATTTGGGCTGTAATGGGGTGGGAGCATGATAGGATGTATGAGGCAAACAATGTTATTCTGGATACGTCTTGTTCGTATTGCAATGAGTTAAATTACTCTGGATTGAAGAAATAGATGCAACGCACAACAAAAACCTCACCGACATACCTCACATGGGTCTCATCGTGAGCGACTGCTCTGGTGGTAGTTGCGCCACCCCCCACAGCAGTAGGGCTAACAGGCAGAGGGGCAGTTCTGGTAGATGCGCCGCCCCTCTCTGCGGTAGGGCTGTGAAGGGGTGGGAGATAAACAAGGTGAGAATTCTTATTATAGTAGGTATCAAATGTAGGGCAAATAATTCCTTTCTACGAATGAGCTCCAACACAATTCACAACAAGGAGGGCATGGACGTACCTCAAAAGGGTCTCTTCGTAAGGGGATACGCTAGTGGTAGTTGCTCCAATCCCCACAGCAGTTGGGCTGTGTCGGGTTGGGGGATGATAGGATGGACGAGGTCATCCTTGTTAGCCATGTGCTGCCAGTATGCATAATAGGTTCACAAACTAGATTGTTGGGTGAAACATGATGCAAGAGAAAGACGTGGCCGACGTACCTCATAACGCTATCGTCTCGAGGGGCTGCACAGGACGATGTACCGCGACCGCTGAAAGGATGTGGCTCCGATAGTCGCGCTATTCCCTCACTAGCCTCCTCCCCTTCCTCTCCCTCCACAATTGTCTCCTCTAACTCCCCCCCCTCGTCGTCAGCCACGCGTCCTGTTAAGATGGTCAGGTATAGAGGCGATAAGGAGATTATGAGGGCATTTATCGACGCCATAACACTTTCTCTTCAGGAAATTCTATGGTAGTGGTAAACCTACCTGATGCAAGGAACTCTCGATACGCCGGCCCACGACGGTCCCCGCCATGCCCGAACCCATCGTCGGGCACCACCTTTCCATGCTCGTTGATGTGATACGTCTTGAACTTGTACGTGAAGCTGGCTCCTGACCGTGGTTCCAGTTCTAGCAGTTGCCCAACATCGGCATTCGCTCCACGCTGGCTCACACGAAACGAGGATCGCTGTGCATCCAGGTGCAACTTGATCTGAGACCTCACTAGGTCGGCATTTTTACGGGTGCCTACCATACAAATGGATTAAAAGGGGAATAAAATCAAAACGTGGTACTATTAGATAATGTATTCACATCGATCATGCTCGCACACTTGTGCAAATATGGTACTCGTATGCGAAAGACCCCAAATAGCTGTTTACTTACTCGCATTCGATGCTGCTGCGTCCACGAGCTTGGCGACGATCTCCGGTGCAGAAGCAATCAGCAAATGCATCAGCTCTGTGGGCGACGCCTCTCTCCCAAGCAGCGCCGATAAGCCGCACCGCATAATGGCCACTGGGAGGATCACGTGACTCTGTAACGACATCACCTTTGCTGGATGTTTACTCATGATGCTATCCAAGTGGCTGAACAATGACCTCCCTTCGAAGGAACGCGGTACATTGTCCACGGTGACACTCCTCCCGTATCTGTTTGGGGTGGACGGTATGAAGCGCACATGCGTGATATCAATGCTAGTTAGAGGTTGTGTGCCCACACCTGGTGCAACGAAGCAGTGGGGGGCGTGACTGAAAGGTCGACAAGAACAAGGGGAAATGGGGAGTGCTTGCTACGTGGAGGGGGGGTGCTAGCGAGGGGAAATGGGAGTGCTAGCATGGAGGATGGGGACTGCCAGCGGCGGGGATGGAGAGGGCGTGCGTGGGGGGGGGGAGACGGGCACGCTAGCGAGGGGGAAGGGGAGAGAACGCTACGCGGAGGGGGAGTGATAGTGACCAGGGAAGGGGAGGGCGCGCATGGGGGGGGAACTTGCACGCGAGTGAGGGGGAAGGGGAAGGAACGCCACAACGATGGAAGTGACAGAGATGGGGAAGGGGAATGTTCGGGAGGGGGAAGGGGAGTGATAGTGACGGTGAGAGAGTGATAGCGACGGGGGAGGGGGGTGCTAGGCGTGCGTGGAGGGGAGGATGGGCACGCTAGCGAGGGGGACGGGGAGAGAACGCTACGAGGAGGGGGAGTGATAGTGACGGGGGAAGAGGAATGCTAGCGGTGGGGAAAGGGGAGCTATCGAGGGGGAAAGGGAGATATGGCGACGGGGAAGGGGAGTGTTCGTGCGGGGGAAGGGGAGGGCGTGCATGGGGGGGGGGGGGGCGGGCTTCCTAGCAAGGGGGAAGGGGAAAGAACGCTACGAGGAGAGGGAGTGATAGTGACGGGGGAGGGGGGTGCTAGCGGTGGGGAAAAGGGGAGCTATCGAGGGGGGAAGGGAGAGATGGCAACGGGGAAGGGTAGTGCTTGCGAAGGGGAAGGGTAGTGCTTGCGAAGGGGAAGGGGAGGTCGTGCGTGGGGGGAGGAGACAGGCACGGTAGCGAGGGGGGAGGGGACAGGCATGGTAGCGAGGGGGGAGGGGAGGGAATGCTCCGTGGAGGGGGAGTGATAGTGACGGGGGAAGGGGCGTGCTAGCGGTGGGGAAAGGGGGAGCTATCGAGGGGGAAAAGGAGAGATGGTTTAGGGGAAGGGGAGTGCTTGCTTAGGGGAAGGGGAGGGCATGCGTGGGGGGGGGACGGGCACGCTAGCAAGGGGGACGGGGAGAACGCTACGAGGAGGGGGAGTGATAGTGACGGGGGAAGGGGCGTGCTAGCGGTGGGGAAAGGGGGGGCTATCGAGGGGGAAAGGGGGAGATGGCGACGGGGAAGGGGAGTGTTTGTGCGGGGGAAGGGGAGGGCGTGCATGGGGGGGGGGTGGGCTTGCTAGCGAGGGGAAAGGGGAGAGAACGCAACGAGGAGAGGGAGTGATAGTGACGGGGGAGGGGGTTGCTAGCGGTGGGGAAAGGGGGAGCTATCGAGGGGGGAAGGGAGAGATGGCGACGGGGAAGGATAGTGCTGCGAAGGGGAAGGGGAGGTCGTGCGTGGGGGGAGGGGACAGGCACGGTAGCGAGGGGGAAGGGTTTGGGATTGCGCCATGGAGGGGGAGTGATAGTTGTCAACGGGAGTGTTGTGTGGCCCCATCCTCGCTTTTGGACGCCGGGAAGCCGACTGTCCTGCGAGTGGACAACAAGTCGGCCATCACGGTCGCCGAGGGCATGGGGTTGACGGGCAACCTCAAACACATGGAACGGCGACAGGCCTGGCTGCAGCACATGGTGAAGCGCGGGAAGTTCTCGCTGAAGTACATCCCGACCGCTGAGCAGCCGGCCGACTTCCTGACGAAGGCGCTGCACTATCCGGCCTTCAGCCGGTGCTCCGTCGCAATCGGCCAAGTGCGCTTGGCCGACATGGACGGCGACGACGACGTGCAGCAGTAGGTGCCATGCCCTCTTGCATGGCTGGTGCGGTGATCGGCGTGCTGTGTGTTGTGTGCACGCCGTTGAGCGTTTCTCCGAGCAGTGCTGCCGTGTGGGCCGGGGCCCAAGCGTGAACGCGGCAGGGGAGTGTCAACGGGAGTGTTGTGTGGCCCCGTCCTCGCTTGGGCGGAGCCGACCTTGTGGTCGAGCGTGCGGGGGATGCAGCCGACCAACAGCAGTGGGCACGGGGGCCACTGCAAGGGCGTCGAGCTGGAGGGCGCCGAGCAGGAGGACGCCGTCCTGGGCGCCTAGACGGCGTCCGGTGAGGCTGGACGCCGACCCAAGCGTCTGCACTGCGTCCTAGGAGGATGGACGCCGACCTGGGCGTCTGCACAGCGTCTTGTGGGTCCGGACGCCGACCTGGACGTCTAGTTGGCGTCCCAGGAGGCTGGACGCCGCCCTGGACGCCGGACTAGGGATGCCGGGCCTGTGTGTGGCCGGCTACGGACTGAGCTGGTCGACCAGGCGCGGTTGCCCGGTCGACCGGGATACCCGGGCGACGTGCGGGAGTGTCGCCGGGGTGGAATCTGCGAGGTTGACCTCGGGGGTGGTATCCCGAGGCCGACGTGGCTGGTGGGCGCAGTCGCTGGCGTGGAGTCTGCCAGGCGTCTGCGCTGTGCACGTGACAAGGAAGAGTGCACCAACCAGCTGCACGCACCTGCGAAGCAGGTGCACCGTTGTCCTGCGGGTGCAACGCTGTGCAGCCGACTTGCTGCAGCGTTGGCATACCATGGACTTGCAACGTTGGCGCACCGCTACTCTGCAACGCTGGAGTGGTGCGAGCGCTGCTGCGCTGGAGCGCGGTCGACCGTGCTGCGCTGGAGGACGACCGGCAGCCTAGCTAGCTCTGATGTAGTCTGTGTTGCCAATGTTGTTGTAACCATTGTTCTGAACTTTTCCTAGTGGAACTCTTGCCAACTTTCCCCGTGAACTAGCAAGTGTGTGCGCACAAGGAACGACTAAGGAACGAACGAACGCAGAGATCACACGAGCACCCGTGCCTAGCCCGCAGCCCAGCTCCCATTGGTAAAGTTATCTCCGCAATAGTGACGGGGGAAGGGGCGTGCTAGCGGTGGAAAAAGGGGGAGCTATCGAGGGGGAAAAGGAGAGATGGTTTAGGGGAAGGGGAGTGCTTGCTTAGGGGAAGGGGAGTGCTTGCTTAGGGGAAGGGGAGGGCGTGCGTGAGGGGGGGAACGGGCACGCTAGCGAGGGGGACGGGGAGAGAACGCTACGAGGAGGGGGAGTGATAGTGACGGGGGAAGGGGAGTGCTAGCGGTGGGGAAAGGGGGAACTATCGAGGGGGAAAGGGAGAGATGGCGACGGGGAAGGGGAGTGTTTGTGCGGGGGAAGGGGAGGGCGTGCATGGGGGGGGGGGGGGGCTTGCTAGCGAGGGGGAAGGGGAGAGAACGCTACGAGGAGAGGGGGTTATAGTGACGGGGGAGGGGGGTGCTAGCGGTGGGGAAAGGGGGAGCTATCGAGGGGGGAAGGGAGAGATGGCGACGGGGAAGGGTAGTGCTTGCGAAGGGGAAGGGGAGGTCGTGCGTGGGGGGAGGGGACAGGCATGGTAGCGAGGGGGGAGGGGAGGGAATGCGCCGTTGAGGGGGAGTGATAGTGACGGGGGAAGGGGAGTGCAGCGGTGGGGAAAGGGAGAGATGGCGACGGGGAAGGGGAGTGCTTTCGAAGGGGAAGGGGAGGGCGTGCGTGGGGGGGGGAGGACGAGCACGCTAGCGAGGGGGAAGGGGAGAGAACGCTACGAGGAGGGGGAGTGATAGTGACGGGGGAAGGGGAGTGCTAGTGGTGGGGAAACGGGGAGCTATCGAGGGGGAAAGGGAGAGATGGCGACGAGCAATGGGGAGCACCTGCAAAGGGGACGGGCAGGGCGTGCGTGGGGGGAGGGGACGGGCACGGTAGCGGGGGGGAAGGGGAGGGAACGCGACGAGGAGGGGGAGTGATAGTGACGGGGGAAGGCCAGGGCGCGGATGGGGGGGGGTCGTGCACGCGAGCGAGGGGGAAGAGGAGAGAGCGCGACAGCGAAGGGGTGTGACAGTGACGGGGAAGGGGTTTGTTTGGGAGGGGGAAGGGGAGTGATAGTGAGGGGGAGGGAGTGATAGCCACGGGGGAGGGGGGTGCTAGCGGTGGGGAGTATGGAGAGGTATCGAGGGGGAAAGGGAGAGATGGCGACGGGGAAGGGGAGCACCTGCAAAGGGGACGGGCAGGGCGTGCGTGGGGGGAGGGGACGGGCACGGTAGCGAGGGGGAAGGGGAGGGAACGCGACGAGGAGGGGGAGTGATAATGACGGGGGAAGGGGAGGCACACATGGGGGCGTGAACGAGCACGCGAGCGAGGGGGAAGGGGAGAGAACGCGACAGCGAAGGGGTGTGACAGTGACGGGGTAGGGGAATGGTCGCGAGGGGGTAGGGGAGTGATAGTGACGGGGAGGTAGTGATAGCGACATGGAAGGGGAGTGATAGCGGTGGGGAAATGGGGAGCTATTGATGGGGAGGGGGCCGGAATGCGTTTGGAATGGGAGTGCTTACGACTCCGAAGGGGAGTGATAGAGAGGAGGAGTGAAGTGAACGTGACAGGGAAGGGGATTGCTAGCGTGTAGAAAGGGGGGAGATTGCAACGGGGTAGGGGACCGCGGGCGAGTGGGATTGGGTGTCATTTTTCGCAGTCGTCATTTTTCCCGTGCTCAATGAGGCGACGGTTTCCCCTTCTCTCTGAACGGATGCCGCTTCTCTCCTATAAGCACGCAAATGTGGTCGTGAAATGCGCATATGTGTCAATGCACCTGTTTTCTACAACCGTACCCTAGTTCCCGTCACCCGTGGTGCTCACCAAGCCGGCAATGTCGTTGGACGTTACTAGCACGAACGTGACCGGGGGAATGTGGCGACCGCGTCCAGAGCACCAACTCCGTGCATGAGGCGCCCCTACCCGTCGCTATCGATTATCACGCAAGACGGTGCTATTGCGCGGTCTAAAGTGAGCACGAAAGTGAGGGGAATGTGATATCATCACGCGCTTGGTTTCTAGGTGACGAAGAAGTAGGCGATGTGGTTGTGTGCTGGTAGTGCATGTGTCTCTCTGAGTAGCGAGCAGGCCCCTAGATTCGTTTTAAGGCACTCTGATCGATCAGTGTACACCCCTCCTGGAACTCTGTCTTGTTAGAGTAGGTAGCTAGGAATGGATGAAACTATCGAGAGAGTTTGGTACAAGTGAAAACCCTAAGGGGTTGTACCCTACATTGGCTACCCCACTACATAGCCTACATAATGTAGCATAACATATACAGTTTGACACACCCCCATAGGCAAAGTGGGGGAGAACAAGGGGTCACAAGACCAGTCAGGAAAAGCAATGCAAGCTCAGGGTGGATCACAACGTCACCACACACTCCGAGCACAAGCAAAAGGGCCACAAGGCCAATTCACATGCAGAGGTATATATGCAACAACAACAGTACAGTGATCACTACCTAGCAAGAGTAAACATGCAGGTATATATATTTAGATCACAGTACAACCAGAGTCTACAGCAAGTGAGGAAACGTAGGCACCAGGCCTAGAGCAGTGCAGAAGCGCTGATGATCACCAGCCGGAAGGGCCTCGTGAACACATCAGCCGTGTTGGGCCGGGTGGGCACGTGAGCGACACGAAGCTGACCACGCTGCTGCAACTCTCGAGCAAGGAAGTAACGCATAGCGATGTGCTTCGTTCTGTGCTCCGGTCTATGGTCCTGACACAAGGCAATGGCAGCCTTGTTGTCGACGTACAGAACTGGAGGAGAACGAGGCCTCTCTCACAAGTCGGTCAGCAGGTAGGTGAGCCAGCGTAGCTCCTGTGCAGCCATGGCTGTGGCGTAGATCTCAGCCTCACAACTGGAGCTGAGAACAGAAGACGAGCGTGTAGACCGCCAAGAAACAGAGCCAGAGCCAAGGCTGAACGTGTAACCCTGTGACGACCGCTGCGTGGCCAGGTCGTCAACCCAAGAAGCGTCTGAGTGCCCAGTGAGGACAACTGAGCTCCGCCCTCCAAGCACGAGCCCCATGCCCGATGTACTGCACAAGTAGCGCAGTACCCTCTTCGCAGCATCCATGTGCACCTTTCGGTGCCTACCAGGAGCCACGTAGCGTGCCAGAAGGCCAAGAGGGTACGCGAGGTTAGGACGAGTGCAGGTCATCAGGTACATGAGGCAGCCGACTAGCTCTGGGTACGGGCCACTCGGCTCTACGGACTCGTCCGAAGGTGGAGCTGAGAGCGAGTGACCCGAGCACCTGAGCTCAAGCACCAGAAGGAAGAAGCTCCTTCTGGCTCGCTACGTGACTCACGGTAGACACCGAAAGGTGCACTAGGAAGCTGCGAAGAGGGTACTGCGCTACTTGTGCAGTACATCAGGCATGGGGCTCGTGCTTGGAGGACAGGGTTCAGTTGTTCTCCCCGGTCATTCCGACGCTTCTTGGGCTGGGGCCACTCGGCACTGGTTCTGTCTCGTGGAGGTCCACTCGCTCGTCTTCTGTACTTAGTTCCAACTGTGAGGCCGAGATCTACGCTGGGGCTATGGCTGCACAGGAGTTCCGCTGGCTGATCTACCTGCTGACCGACTTGGGTGAGCGGCCTTGTTCTCCTCCAGTTTTGTACGTCGACGAGCACACCCTCACCAGCCACATCATCAAGGATGAGGCGATGCAGGAGGCAGAACGGCCCACGGAGCTCCTTCCGCAGGCGAACTACGCCACCTCGATGAAGCAGAGTCGCCAGCAGGGGCAGCACGGGAAGCCGGGCGGAGGTGGTAGCGGAGGCGGGAGGTCGACGAAGGACGTCGACTAGACGAAGTCGGCGCGGGATAAGAGTCGCGGAGGTGGTGGTCGACGGCGGGAGTGCTGGATCTGCGGCGACCCTGACCACCTCTCCTTCGAGTGTCCTGACCGCGACGACTCCGACGACGATGACAACGATGCAAAATCACACGTTTCGTTTTTTTTCGTCGGCCTCTGCTTCGCATCGACCTTGTTGATATTCGTCGGGTCGGCAGTCGTGGGGGGTGCCGATCACCCCGTGCCGAAATTTATGTTCGGATGGTTGCGACGTGTTCCGTGGTGGCTACTGTTCAATGCGTCAAACTGTTCGGCTGCACTGACAATGTCCCTTTAGCAGTAGTAATTTTCCACGATGACCTGTCGGCGGTTTTTTGTCCAATTCTGTACGCTGTATTTTCTTGCCTTCGGTCATGCCAGTAATTCTGTTGAAATTTTCTTTCATCTGCTGCGTATACTGTGCTACACTCCCAAATTGTCGGTATCAGTGAATTTGTTCGCGCGCCATATACGAGGCATTAACGATGTGGTGTAAGTGTTGTGAGTGGAAATGCTACTTGACGTTTTCTCCGATGCATTCTTAGTTGCATCTCCAATGCCATGGGATGGGACATTGTTTGACATTGAAATGTCCATTAACTGTGCCCACATTTCTTCGCCTTGGACCACTTTACAATTCGAGTAAATCCATTCCAGTACAAGGCCTCGTAATAGTGTAGCTGCGAGCCGAGTTTGAGTCGCATCGTAGTTGGGGTCGTGCATTTACAGGTTTTGAAGTATATTTTGAGTATAGCTACAAATTGACGGACATCGCTCCCTTTCGCGCAACGTCTCGTGTCGCTGTAGAGTCGCGCGCGTGTGCTCCTGCTCGGCACGAAGGATTGCGAATTCTTGTACGATCGCCGCTCCCTTCGATGCCTCTTCTGTTAACCATTTCAGGGGGGAATTAATAATTAACGTAGAACTTGTGTCAACGTACCCGAATCAGCATGATCTTCGTCGCCCCCCGCGGTTTTTGAAGACTGATTTTTAGCGAATGAAGAACTGGAGTGAAAACGGGCTCTGATTACCAAGTGCAAGGATCTAGTCTCAAGTTCAATGCTTATAATCTGAATCCCACGTACAACTACGTGGCTATATATAGGCATGATACAAGTCAAGTAACCAGGATGTTACGAGAAGGTTTTGAGGATTGCGAAGCGTCCGGAACGGGAACTTTCCGAATTCGGTAGAATCAACTCGGCGGGAATTCGCGCAATCAAAGTTGCGTGGGAATAACCGAAATGAAACAGAATTCGAAAACTATTTGGTTCTAAAACTAGAATAACTGTAGTAAGGCAAAATGATAATAGAAAATACAAATATTGGCAACGAATATATGAAAACAAGCACAAAATGATAATAGAAAATTATAAATAAGCAAGACTAGGTAAGAACATACGTGGTACTCTCACACATGAAAGCAACGTCGACGACGTGCACGAGGTTACCATTGAGGACCACTGTAATAGAATTACAGCTGCTCGGCCTCCACACTGCAACAACCACTGCCCTGCGAGTCATCGAGCCAGATTCAAGACAGGACCTCACAGCATGGAATGGCGGGCATCGGTAGATGCGGAACCAAAGGCGCTAGAGTCACGCGACAATTGGGTTCTCATTGATCGAGCTGCAGTGAAGGGAAGGCGGGTGTTATCAGGAAAAGTCTTCAGCGTGAAGACTGCAGCCGTCGAGCGCTTCAAGGCAAGGTGGTTTGTGAGCAGTTATGATCAATGTCACGGGATCGACTTCGACCAAACCTTCGCTCCCGTAAGCCGGCACACCTCTGTGCGCATCCTACTCGCCATCGCCACTGCTAAGCATCTTCCACTCCGACAGATGAACGTGAAGAACGCGTTCATACACTCAATAGTCGACACCATGCTTTTTGTGGAGCAGCCTGTTAAACATACTAAGTAGTCGGGCCTAGGCTTAGTAGCCTAGGCCACAGGAAGACTAGAACGAGGCGCCAAGTACGAGCGAGAGTTGTGTGCACGAACAGAAATGAGGAAGGAATGATTGTACTAGCAGGCAGCAGGATACAAATAGCAAACCCTAAGGGGCTGTACTCACTATTGAGTACCCCACTGCAGGCTACACAAATAACATATTCTGACACACCCCCATAGCCAAAGTGGGGTGAAATCAGCACAATGAGCAGGCATAGCAGTAGTTCATAATTATGAGCAAAGCTAGAGGCAGTCACAGAGGGCAAGTGAGGAGGAGGGGGGACTGTGAGTGGAGAGAAGATGGGAGGCGACGACTGAAGCTGCAGACACACGGGCACCAGGAGCAACAGCTGGCACAGTGGCTACCGAGAGCACGACGGCTCCGGAGTACAGGAGTAACAGGCTCTGCGGCTACGACGAGCGGCAGGAGCAACGGACCCACGGGCGACTGGCGCAGCAGGCTCGCTGGGCTACCAGAGCGCGACGGCTCCGGACTATAGGCGCTGCAGACGACAAGACGGCTGCCTCCACTCAACCTCTTCCAACTGTCCCACACCCCCCCCACACACCCCCTGCTGTACCCCTAGCTCCACACCCACGTCACCCCCCTAGCTCCACTCCCCGCGGCTCCCACACCTCCACCCCCCTCAG